AGTAACGCCAGGCCATCCTTCTCCATGTTTTAGATGTGAGAAGCTTGGTCACTCACGGAAAGAATGCCCTCTCCGAGGCCCTGAATAATAAAAGAAAAAAGAGACAGTTCCACCAACAGTAAAAACAGTACAAGACAGGAAGCCAGCTCCAACGGCACCAACAGTCTCGAAAAGTTTACCAGCCAACCAGTCTCCGCCAGTCCAACCACCAGCTTTAAAAAGAAGACGAGAAGGAGAAGCTAGATCTCCAACAACACCAGATCTCGCAAACCCAAAATTCGAATTTATAAAGCCACGGAATCCATCAATAGGAATATACGAAGTAGAAAGCAGTTTCGACATTACAGAGACCAGTATCCACACCTCAACACCAGGCATCTACGAAATCCAAGAGATATTCGAATTTAAAAAAAAAAATAAAAAAAATAAAAAAAATAACACGTGATTGTCTGCGATATCACTTCGGTGGAAGCGGACGTAAAATACAACTAACTAACAACAATCTTTTAGTTTCGCTGAACTTCTTTGCTGCGCCTCTATTTAATCCAATTGAATCCATGTCGGGAAATTATCTATCGTTGCTATCTTGATTTTGATTTCTTGAGTAATAATTTGTATACATTCTAGCTTGTATTATCGAAATACAAAAGAGCATGAAATCAATCAGTCGTGATATTAATAAATGGTATCAATGACAGTATGAACATAAAAAAAGTACTTCGTTGGTCTAGCTATTCGATAAATCAGTGTATGGCGACCTTGAAATGAATTATTAGAACACTTTTTTTCATGTGATTGACCCTAATGGGCTTCTTCGTATCTTGTAATAACGAGATAGCTACCTTGTTATAATGGGATAGCTATCTTGTAATAATAAGACATCTTGTTGTTGTTTATTAAAGATTTAACGTGAAATACAATGAATATGATATTATGGACATCTTGTAATAACGAGATATTTGTATAAAATGTTTATCTTGTAATAACAAGATGTTTATCTTGTAATAACGAGATAGCTATCTTGTAATAACGAGATAGCTATCTTGTAATAACGAGATGGCTATCTTGTAAAAACAAGATATTCAGAATATTTTTTTTTTCATTTGATTGACCTCAATGGTCCTCTGTAAGTCAGCCCCTGCTGGACAATACATTTGTAGGGTTCCCTGATAATAAAAAAAGCCCCCCCCCCCCCATCTCTACCACCGAAAACCAGAATGTTTCCAGCTACTGAAATAATTTATTGCGCCACCGGACATAACAGTTCGTATGCTCATCAAACAAAGATATCTTTCAAAAAATACACATGGTGAAATTACGGACGTAAAAATCTCTAGTGAAACACCTAATACAGGTGAAGTTTCACAAATTAGACCACACCAGTCACCAAGCTGTTAATGCATAGACTTGTTTTTAATAGCCATTTAATTTTAGAAAAAAGATCGTTTTTGACGAAATTCCGATATCTTCGTGTGGTCCATGTTATTGTTTTAAAAAACTGATTTTCGAGTCCGCCATAATTTTCTCTTCTCTTGGGAAAACAGCATTTATCATATCATATTACGTTAATTAGGTGGGAATTTGCAAAATCTTGTTTCAGATCAAACAGTACTTGTTTAATATGATCTACTTGTGAGTAATTTATACCTTGAGTAAATTAAATCAGTTTTTGCCGTAAAGCAATGTCCTATAAATTATACCTTTAGTTAATACACTTACAAAGCTCAGTGAGTGTAAAATTAAAACAAGCCAATTAAAGTATCGGTTGGTAACCAGATTACATGATTAATATCTACACGCTAGTTATCTGTCATTTAAAATCATGTCAAATTTATTACTAGGTGAAAATATGTATCACTATGTCTCTAAACCGTGTATGGTACCGTGTATGGGCACTTATCAGTTTCTTAGGGATTCAGTGGGATGAATGAGGCGGCCTACGCATTAAAAACCGTTGTCCATGGCAGTGCCAGTGTGTGTGGGTGGGGAGGGGGGGGCTACTAGGGCATCTCTCAGCAAATCTACAAAAATTCCCGGCGAAAAATTATGTCCTGGATAACGTTTACAATAGGCAGAAATGGTTGTATCTTATCATCTATCGGAACGCGGGAAAAAGTCAGTCGGGTCGGGGGAAGGGACTGTCGTGTAGGCACCTGTTGCAAAGAGCAGCCACAATGCATGTCGGAATAATATCCGTCTCCAGATAAAAACAAAGCATTCTGGGCATAAAAACATTTCACTTAGTGAGTAAGACGCTGGCTCGATAACCGATAGGTCTTGGATTCGCCGGTAAAGTTCCTCGGGATTTTTCATCATGGTCCCCCCTTGTCAGTAGTGGTGCAGGACGGAGGGTCTTCCAATTAACAGTGTCTAGTCCTTCGGATGATTCCGTGCACGCAAAAGAACCCTTACCAGTTGGAATTCGGCCGTATGGCGGCCGTTCTGGCAAAATTTCCTTCATAGCACATTTTATGGCGTATTCCCGTCTTCATTTGTCCAGTTGATACAGAAAAATAGGAAGTTAAAGTGTAGCAGATACGACCCCTTCACGAAGAAGAGAATTTGTCCAATATTATCGAATATATTTCAAGCACTTATGTTTTTATTCGTTACGCATTAATTATATGCGGTGTCCTATTTCGGTTTAGGAAGGTTGGATGGCCGAATGGTTAGCACGTGCGCGCTGTATTATAAGGTATGTCATTGAGTCAACTGGCGAGGTTTCCATTCCCCGGTTGTACGTGACAAGGAGTAGAGTCGCATGTCCAACCTCGTGGGTTCTCCCACTGATAAGGACCCCTACGCGCAAGCAAATTATTGAAATAAAATTGAACCATGTGTTAGTCCCGAAATGACCTAGTTTGTATCGAGTGGACGTTAACCCCATCTCTCTCTCTCTCTTTCAGGCCATAATGTTCTATCCCGTTTCGTAGCTAGTACGGTCCTTTTATACTAAAGTGCTATCAACGATGGGCGCTAACATTAATTATATATCATACTGGCGGTGGAATATCCGCGTGGTAAAGGGGGGAGGGGGTGCCAGGAAACGGCACATACACCCACAGCCGCTAGATTGTCGCACATTTACAATTTCGTATGTGATGGTGGAGTGTGTGTGTGTGTGTGGGGGGGGGGGCACTTAAAACTGGTCAAGAATAACAATCCATTACTAACTAAAGTAATTAACATTTGATTGGATTCTAGTGGAAACATTTATTATACAAGCATGTATCCATAACCAGACGATAACTAAACTGTTTGTGAACATAAAAACTGTATATAAATTTGTAATCATTGTACGAGTGTTTTTTCTAGTTTCAAATGTTATATGAAATTGTTTTTAGACACCTATTCCCTTGAAAAACCCATAATCAACTCCTCAGGTTATCGGATGACTTAGATATTGAGTGGATTAGACAATACCCGTTATATCTGCGTTAAATGCTAAAACGGCCGGAGACTGATGAAATCGAGGCTGTGGACGGAGTTTCCAAATATGGCTATTTCTTGTCAAAACTTCGAACATTTATAACTTCGCTCAAAATAAGGTAATTTGACTATAATTTGGAATATGTTCATTCTTCATAGCGTTCTCTAACTCTTGACTACTGTATCTTTAAACACTCTGTATAAATTCCAAGATAGTGGGTTGGTAATTTTAGTCTCAAGGGCAGTGATTCTCAACAAGTGTGCCGCGAAATTTTAAACGGCACGATAAGAAAATTTCTCACTAAAGAGCCAGCTATTTGACTGATGAAATTCGAAACACTGCAATAAAGTAAGTTCATAGCTGTGTTTTTCTTTATTTAGTCTTTGTCTACGATTGTATGTCGTCTATGTTTTTATTTTGCAAAATTCAGATATTTTTCATATATATTTAGCCAGGTGTGCCGCTATTTTTTCATGTGTTCCAAGGTGTGCAGCTGGCAAGAAAACGGTTGAGAACCACTGCTCAATGGTGCCCTAAGATTATTGGAAAGAGCCAATATCAATTCACCCCTTGGCGGTCGGTTGAGAACATAAGGTCTATCATTGAGTAAACTAGCGTGATTTCGATCCCACACAGAAAACGTCCTGTTTGGGGGGGGGGGGGGGAGAATATGAACAGCTGAAGCTGTGACTGATGTAGGCCATGATTTATTTAGAACATCTTGCAGTTACTCGGATGGATCTGTTGTATAAAACTGTGTCTCTCCAAGGTCTGCTACCTAGGCAGCCTAATGGTATCACCGGCCATAAAGAGCCACGCGGCTAGACGAATTTGTAACACGTGTAATCGTAAATAATCTAAACTCGGTTCGAAGGCAGAGATCAATAAAGGTAACGGTCACAATTAACATGGGCAAAAACGTTCTGTAAAGACAAACGAATTCGATAATTGGCTATCAAGCAGTCCTCCTTAATATGTGTCTAGCTTTACTATATTATTCAAATTTACTAGATTTTCGGACGGACGCTGAATTGCTGTATAAACACTTAATAAATTCTATAGACAGTTTCTTTCCTTTTCCACCGTTTTCCCCTTGAGGATGGTAAACTAGACATGCATGGATTTTAGCCACCCTAAAAAAAAGTAGTTCACTGCTGACAAGACGTCATCATTGCTAGGAAAATTACGACTATCTAGTTCCTTTTTCATTTTTGGAAACAGGTGGAAGTCTAACGGGATAAGAAAATTATTAGGATCTGCTTTAAAACGGGGCAGATTTGTCACGGGACATCAGGTATCTGACACGTTTCTGATCTGCAGGCAAGAGCTTTGGTACCCATCTTACAGTAATTTTTGTCATTCCTAACTTGTTGGTGATTATGATTTAAACCCTCTTATGAGAGATACCGACAATACTGGCAATATGTCGTCGATCAGCCATCACAATGTCGTTGCACCCAGCCAGCCCTCATATCAAGTTGCCGGCTTTAAGCACATTTTCAGGGGTCACATTAATCCTACTTCTTATTCCATTGAATAAGTTTTGGGGGATAGAAATCCAACACAACGCCACGTTTCCAAATTTTAATATTTCCTAATTTTGATAATTTATACATAATTTTTGTAACATTTAAGATAAAACTTGAATATTGCTGGTTGACTACTCTTGCATTCCCCATTGATTCTGAAGCAAAAAGAAAAAAAATAAAACACTGGAATTAAAATCAAAGAACATTTCAATATTCTAATAATGTATTTATAGTCAAATGACATTGGAAAAGTGAAATTTCCTTAACCCCTTTATCAAGCTATTCAAAACACTTATCACAATCTAAGACAAATACAACTGTTACAATCTTCCCTTATAATATGAACTTTATGCTGTAAATAGTCCCAAAGTGAGATTTGCCTAGAATATAGGCAGTAGTCCCACACAAGTCTGCCATCAGTGTAATTCTGGTATATTTTTCAGCATAAGTTAGTCTAATTGTTACTAATAAATCTCACTCTGTGAAGCATTATTAACCATATATATCAAAAGATACAATTACTTTCTAGTATTTTATTTAAAGAATTTGACTTCTACACTTACAACTTCTTGCTTGCTATGTCCCAGTTTTTTCTCTACATTCTGTGCTATAACTTGTGAGCGGAAAGCCAAATTTTTAGTTTTCTCAATAATTTGTTGGTAGGGTGAAACAGCTTGGGTTCCCATAACAACATGACCCTGAAATGAGAATATTTTTTAATCAACCTTGTCATTTATAATCATAGGATGTCCTAACATTGTCATGCACATTTGTAGGATCAACCTGACTTTGTCATAGTACAATCATTGGATCAACCTAATATTTACATGTTCAGTTGTAAAATTAACATAACATTTTCATGTGTAATCAACCTAACTTTGCCATGTACAATCATAGGATTAACATAATATTTGCATTTACAATCAACCTAACTTCACTATCATACACAGTTGTAAGATTAACCCAACAAAGTCATGCACAATTGTAAGATTAACTTAAAATTATCACATGTGGGTCATTCCATGTCAAGTGGGCCAGAGGTGGGAAATCAACCACCTCGAAAAAATCTGGAATAAAAATATGTTATTGAACTACTACTGGCAATCTCTAGATAGGCCAAAATTTGAGTCTATATCTTTTACTTTGTAGCTCCTGGAGCACTGGATAATCCAGAAATTATACAATTACACAAATTTTCTTTCGGTTTTCATGGCCACTGTGGCATGTGAACTCTCCCAAATTTGAGCCCTATATCTACTAGAAAGGTAAAAACAGGATATCTGAAACTTGAGTAAATTAGATACATATTTTGTTTCGAAAACTTATTAATAACAGTTGAAAATGTTATGGAACAAGGCCTCTGAAAATGAAAGATAATATCTGGGGCTAACACCACCATATGTCATTTTTGGGCTATCTTAAAATGAAGATAACTATTCTTGTTTGGGAAAAATTGGAAGGCCTCAGTAATTTCCGGAAGTTTACGGAAGTCGTCACAAATTTTTTGAATATGCCATTTTGAAGGCATTTATGTGTTCCTTATTCCTACCAAGTTTCAACTTGATACCTCAAATAGTAACAGAGATACACCATCTTGAATGTCGCAAATCTTTGATACTAAAACAAATCGAGTGAACTTCCGAAATTCGAAAAATCGTCAGTCAGAGCCCATATCGTCCAAAGAATCCAAAAATGAAAAGCTGAAGAAGATTCGTTGAGAAATAACCGAGATATGGGCAATCTGAGATTATTTTTTGTCCCATCTGTAAAACAATGACCCGATTTATATTTAATAAATAGAACCACAGAGGCCAACCACATTACTTTGGCAGAATGCTTGCACCATGCATGCACAGTTTTGGCTGCAAACTCTGACTAAATCTCCCACCACACCAAAAAAAACAAAACAAAAAAACACTTACGAAACAATACGTGTTTCGACAATACGTGTTACGTGCTTCCATAAATACATGAACCTACCAGTTTAGAATCAATCTTTGCATCAAGGCGTGCATTTCTGATTAGATTTACAATCCATTTCTCAGCATCATCTGGGGCCATATTTAACTTTTCTGCCAACATACTGCAAGATAAAAAAAACAAAACCAGTAAACAGTGAGTCTGAGTCCCAAAATAAATTGATGACACCTGTTAATTAATTGCACTTTTTGAAAAGTATCGAGCAATCAAACTGATTGTCTAAACTTTGTCTAAGCAGAAAATGTTCACGATCAAACTCAATCTATGTTTTGAAGTACCTGGTAGTGAAACTATACACCTTCCTCACTCTCCATAAGTTAGAATCAAAGTTATCTTGTCCCAAAGCATCAACCAATGAAATTGCTTAGCTCCACCTACTGAACATCTACACCAAGTTTAATCATTCTACCTCAATTAAAAGCAAGTTGTTGACCTATCAAATTGTTTATCATTACTTAGCCTAAGCAGAAAATTCTCATCATCGAACTTAGTCAAGGTATTGATGTAATGAAACTATAGACACCTACACCAAGTTTGAACATTCTAACTCAATTAGGAGAGTTATCGTCTTCCAAAGCCTTGACTAATCAGATTGAAGTCTCTATTTAGAAGCAGAAAATGCTCATCATCGAACTTAGTTAAGATATTGATGTAATGAAACTATACACAAAGTTTCACCATTCTCACTCAATAAGAATCAAAGTTATCGATCTCCAAAGTCTTGAAAAATCAAATTGCTTATCACTCTGCTTACCTCAGCAGAAAATGCTCATTATCGAACTTAGTTAAGTTTCATCATTCTCACTTAATTAGAAGTAAAGTTATTGTGTCCCAATGAACGCATCAGAAGAACAGACCCATTTCAATAAGTTTTCATGGAAACAACATATGAAAAGGGGAAGAAGGCAAATTAAGCATGATAAATATTATTTGAATTGTCTGTATTATTCAAAATAAATTAAAATTTAAAAAAAAATCATTAAAAGATATTTGCAGGTGATTGGAACACTAGAGAAATCGATATTCTTATAATTGAATAAGAGAATTAATATTTGTTGAGTCAAGGTCAAGGTGTTATACAAAGTGAGATACAGTGACTCAGGTTGACATTGATTAAAAAACAACAATAACTAGATTACTTATATTAGTCATTCTATTATTAAATTATAGCATCAACCAACGTAACTAATCTGGAATTTCATCATATTTAAAGTTTTTATTTAAATTGACACCTTTTTGACACATTCATCTGTATAAATGACAATACTAATTATGACTTCTTGTGAGGTAAGACTATAGATGGGTAATAAGTTAACTAGATTCCATACACACATAACACTGACTTCTGCTTCTAATAATAGCTGGCCTGCTGCCAGAATATGACAACTGTGTTAGCCATTAGTAAGAATATAAATCATAGTTCATTTATATATAACCACCCTGTAGACTTGCAACAAATTTTATTGGTATACTTCTAAGTAAGACACAACAGTCAAATATTTCAGTTTCATTACTACACAATGTAACATATACTGACAATGCTTACATTTATAATTTCAATTTTACAAACTGTAAATTGTTTAACCAACACCAGAAAATATATATTACAGTGACAATTAAAATTAATATTATTTTAACCCCATAAGACAGAATTACATATTCCAAATTTACATTAATATAAACTAATTAGGCACTGATGCAATTGACCATTATCTTTAATTAATTTTTAGAAGTATATCTTGACACATTAAATCTTAATCAAAGGTAGACCTCACATGTATTGTATTTCAACTGCCAATCATCCTTATCTAAATTTGCCAAGTAGCCGACTGTTTTTAGGGTATTGTTCTACATATTGTCTGCCAAGTGTATTAGACTAGGAATTTATTTTATCAGCTATTAATCTTTTATCTTCACAAGAAAATAAATAAGAATATCCCATTTCATGTTAGAAGATCTTATCAACGAAAACTCACAAATCCTGTCAAAAAACAACACCCACTAAAATGTTTGTAAAGGAAAATTTTCAGTGTGCCTGATTCAACTTACCCTATGCTAATACATTCATGTATACGACAGAAAGTCTCAAATATTAGCAGACGGGCATTTTCAATAAAATCATCTAAACACGCCACCAGGAAAAAATCATTACTTAATACCTGCAAAAAATAACAACACAAGTCTAAATAGGAGACTGATTGAATACATAATAGATAATTTGTTAGTCAAGATGAAGTTGTTTTTGATATGGCCAATATGACTCATGATCAAAATGATGTCTTCCATATTCTTAGAAATACAGATATTGAGTTTAATAGCAACAACAGTTCCATATTATGTATATTTACAAATTATCTCATCAAAATACATTTAAATTTAATAACAAAAATTAAAGCTGAAAACGGTTTATTAGATGGACAATTAAAAGAATTAAATATACTTTAGTGAGCTATTCTTTGTTTGGTGGTGAACATTAGATGGCTTTAACTTAAAGATGCATTATGTAAGTGCTAAATCTGCCTAATGCTGGTCTTTCGTTTGGCCTCAAAAGTTACATAAATTATTAATTAGACATTTATTCACATGCCAAGCTCATAATCAACTATGTAGACCATCGATTGGCTTTTATTTTCAACAGATTTAAACACGATTGCCAGTTGATAATTTAATTAAAAAATTGATAATCAGGCTACACTGTTCTTCTAACAGCCATAACTCTGCTCAGAATAAAGTAATTGGACTGAAATTTTCAACACGTTCTCTTTTCATTATTTATCTTTTAACTGTTATAGAGAGAACTGCTAGCTCTTTATGTAAATCTTACATAATGCATCTTTATGATATTTAATAAATTTTAACATTTTTGGGGTCCTTCATGTGCTTTGTTTAGACTTAAAGTATGTTTTTGGGGGTTTTTTGAGTATGGTCTACATTAGTCTATATCCACTCGCCTCAGACCAATCACTTTGTACACTGTGATATTTGCCTTTAAACAAAGCTTGGGAGACATCAGCTTTATGGCAAGGTTTGTTCATGGATGTAGACATGGCTTGCATAGATGGTAGACCTGTCCAGACAATGCTACACATATTTATGTTGTTGTTCAGGGCTTTGCCATTTTGGATTGTCTGTGCAGTTTTCTTTTTTTTAAGAACTCATGTGTGAGTCATATAAAACTTTTTTACAAAAAATTTAAACGGCTGATAAGTCAGAAAAAATATCTAGATAATGGCTTGGCAGATTTGTCTCAAATTTTGCGAACAATCTAATTTTAATATAACTGTATTATTAAATCACATAAACTAACATAAATACCCAAAGATACTTAAAGCAAATTCCTCGTAAAGGAAGTATTTGTATTTTCAGATACTTACAGTTTCACAGTCTCTTAATTTTTTCTGAGCACCATCAAAATCAAAATGGACATACAGACATTCTATGAATTCTGTAATAGGATCTTTGTATGTATAAGATTCCTAGAAAAGAAAAACATATACTATGAAGGATATTACTTTATATAATTATTGCCTTTCATGTGGTTGATGCATTTTCTATTTATAGCCCCCTCATATTTATGGAGTGACATTATCTGATATTTTATTAACAATCAGATATATATATGGAAAGCAAATATGAACAGTTTGTACTAAGTTATGTTTATCCCAGGTTCAAATGAAAGAATTCATTTAGGAAAGTGGAACATTTTATTTACTATTTAATAAGGGAGTTCCACGGTCATTGATCGATGAAATTTAAACATCAGCATGAAATATTTACCAATCTCATGTTAATTTCATGTTGGTTAATTGACTATAACAGCATTCTACTCACAGACATGCCGAGATTATAGTTAGTCCCATTATAAAAGGTGATTCTTTAAATTCAGAGCTTGCATATCTAATTCGAGTATGTAATAAAACTGTCATTGTTCCACTAACAAATGTGTTGAAAATTGCATGGATTGATCCTAATTACATTTAATTAAGTGAAACAAACATTATACAAAACACACAATTTAATTTTCTTTTTAAGAAATAAATACTGTCTTGTTAGTTTAAAATAATTCCAATTTTTAAACTGCAATATTAAATTGAGAGAACTTACATGTTGAATAATTTTCACTAGATCTTTCATACAGCCTCTCCATCTACCTTTATTAGTAACTACAGCTGTGGTTAAATATCTCAATATATGGGGACACATCGTTTGTATGGCATTCAAGTAACTGAAAACCATAAGAAAGTACAAGTTATCTCCCTTGTAAAACACAGCCGTCAACTATTGCACAAATTTGTATAAATCTAGAATAAAGCTTGACTTTCTTGGAAAGAAATTTACACGAACAGCTATTACATGATCAATACTTATATTGTACCTACCTCTGTTCATATAAAAACATATCAATAATTGTATCTCTTCCTTTTGCATGGTTAAAGAACACAAATAAACTCCAGTGTATTAACCAGGTTCTCTGTTGTAGCAGTTGTAAATCGCCAGCAAATGTCTAAAATATAACAATACATAGATTAAAAAAAGAAACCAGAACGAATGGCTACAACATGTAACTTGAATAAATTGAATATTTTAATGCAAGATTTAAATAATTAAATCAGAATCAGACATGCTACATGTAAATCTGCAGCAATCTTGACAAAAAGCATACTGATCGAATAATTATTGAAGTTATGTTCATCTAAATTCAACATACTTTCTGTTGATTTCACATCCTCATCTTATCAACCCTAGCTTAGCGCCTTCATTCAAATTGCAGAGTTAAATATTTTTAAGAATGATGAATATCACGTTAGATGATTGATAAAAAGTTTATTGTTATACTTACATTATGATCTATAATATCTTTCAATCTATTCAAATCTTCTAAAGCGACATCCCAATTCTGCATAAGTATTTCTGATGCTAACTTTCCCCACAAAGCATTCATGAAGTTTTTATCATTTGGTGCAAGCTATAGTAAAAGAAAATTACAAGAATTAATCAAGCTAGTCATATCTGACAAGGGAAGAGTACAGACAAGCAAACATAATCTACATTCTTATGTAGTTTAAATAAAATAAAATTGCTTAGAAATTCAAACCACATTTTGGAAAAATTACCAAACGCAATTTTGCTACAAAATTTCAGCTATTGTGCTTTAGAAGTAATTTCTAAAGTGTGATATATTTGAGTTTACTATTTTTAAGCTTTAGTGATAGTGAATAAACAGAACCTACTATTATTAAATAAAATTCATAGTTTAATGACAAATGTTACAACACAATGGGAATTGATTCTTGAATAACTGTCAAAATCGGTGAATTACACAACCATATTTGACTTTTAGACTATTGAAAAAAGGACAAAGATCACAGTTAAAACATACCAATGCTCGAACAAAGTAGAGATATTCAGCTGCTCCAGAATAATTACCACATTCATACTGAAACTTAGCGTAGTTATACAATGTCTCAACCATGTCGGGTCTAAACTGAAAACAAAATTTGAAAAAAAACCACAGTTTTATTAATAATTCAATAAAGTAGTTCATTTAAAAATACAACCCAAACCTCCCTAATGAATAATTTAAACAGACATTATGCCTTAATTGTTATATAAATTATTAATTAGACATTAATTAACTTACAAAGATCATAATCAACTCTTGATGCCATCGGATGACTCCAATTTTAAGTAGATTTAAATACGTTTTGCGGTTGATGATTTAACGTAAAAATGGATAATCGAAACAACAGTAGCAATGACAATTGTATCGCCGATAACTTGGCTCAGAGTGAAGTAATTTGAGTGAAATTTTCAACATATTCCCTTTTCAATATCTACTTTTTAACTGTTATAGCAAGAACTGTCAGCTCTTTATCTAATCTTATATAATTCCCCTTTAAGGAAATAACTTGTTTATTTTATAAAAATAGAAAAATATTTGTTTTGAAAGATTGAGTTACATACCCCTTTCTCTTGATATAAAAAGTCACACAACTGTCGACCATCTCTGCAAAATTAATATCCTAACTATACTATTATTTGCATTTATGTTAAATTGAATTTAAACATTTATTATGCATATACGTGGCTAAAGAGTCATGAAGGAAAGTATAACTATTAACACTTCCAAGTCTTTTTGCTTGGAGATGCATTACCTGCATTTCTGGGACTTACTAAATAACAATGTTTTGTTTTCACAGCATATATTACCTATTTTGAATAGTTCTGGCCACTTCTGGATCTTCAAATATTTTAGTAATCACATCAGTAGCTGCCTGTAATGTTTTTAACTCATTTACAACCTGACCACGTTTGTCTTTTAAAACTGAAACAAAACAAAAATCAATAAACATGATCAATTAAGGAGGGAGCAACAACTCCTGTGCTGCAGCAAAATTTTCCCACATAGCACACTGCATAGGCATGGCATATTTACATTGATTAATCAATCAGCATTGACGTTTCTTGTGGTTTACACAGTTCCATGCATGGCACAGTAAGTAGTTGCCGTAACAATGGTTTTATTGGCTAATACCTCACACCATCCAGAATGCATTTTATATAACAACTGTTCCAGATCCTAGTGTAGTACAGACAAATAAAACGAAATTTTAAACTATAAAAAACGAAACGAAATAGGATCTGTGTTTTAATCACATTGATTAAATGGCTTCACCAAACAATAATCCGTAAACTGCATGTTGACATGCATCCCTCGACAAGCATGCCATAGACAACAGTACAGTACCAATCCATAAATTAGTGCGTACAAAGAAAAGCCTTTCGGGAAAATATTAGAAATGGCAACGATCAAAGCAGGATAATTAAAGCTGATTAACCGATAATCCCGATGGTATTGTAGTATGTGCAAAGAAACCTTACGGTTCTTTGGTGGATGCGGAAAAACATGAGTTGTCAATCATCGATAATTTTGGCTGTGTGTTGATAGCAATTATTCCGTTTCACGTAAAAGACATTTAGGCTTTCACAATTATAACAAGCGGTTGCCATGCAGGATACGCCCACATTTTGCAAGAGATGGATTGAGAACAAGCTAAAAACAAAAGCGATTTTTTGTACAATCAGGGGCCATAATCCAGAAAGTTATGGTCTGAAATGTGCAAATATCAAAAGGGACTGAGATCTTTGGGATATAAAGATATGTTTTAAGTTTCATCAAAACTGGATAAAAATTGTGAACTCTAGAGGGTCCACAACCTTGGTATTACATACTTTTACACAATTTGCGTACAAAGAGCGGCCATTTAACCCCATTATATTGATGTGGAACTAGCGGAAACAAATCACTCGAAAGGATAAAATGGAACCCAAAATTATTTTGTTTCAAGGCTGGCCTGCTAAAGCAGTTTCTTTTAAATATTATTTAAAAGGGATTAAAATAAATAATTAGGAAACAAATAAATTTTTATCGTAACTGAAATTCAATGCATAAATACAAATGTAAATGGAGTTGCACTGTTATAATATGATTCCTTTTGGTGCTCTACTTTTACAAGACGCTGTGTCATGATTGGGGAATTTTCCACACAATTCATTACAAAAGACAATGGCCAGCCAGAAATTTGTCAAATTTATAAGTTAGAAGTTAACAATAAAACAATAACACAACAAATATTTTATTTTTCATGTAGTATTCTATAAAGTAAGGCGTACAAATTTGATTCAAAACACCCTGACTGACATTCTGCATTTCATCAGTATGGAAGAATATTTAATGAAGCAAAAATTCCCCTACAGTTTCTTCTCACGCATTTACTTTTTGATACAAAACATCTTTCCCCACATTCAAGATTGTGATTGCTCTATTATATTGCTTTTATTTTCAAAGAATTGAAAAATAAATAAGTATAAACCTGTAGGAACTTGTTGATCTGGATACAGGTTTTGATGAACATCCATGGCAAAATCCACCATGTTGGTGTTACTGAGTAGATCAAGCTTTCCTTTGAGCATCTCTTTATCATCGTACAGCTATAAGATATATAGAACAAACATGTAATGAATAAAATATACCTTCAGCAAAGATGTTTCGCCAAATCACTTTCAATATGTCACATTAATTACATAATTTATGTTATGATTTAGGTCTAGGCCTATAGCAAATAGAGAAATGGGGTTTAACGTCCACTTGACATAAACTAGGTCATTTTGGGACTAACATATGGTTCAATTTTATTTCAATAGTTCGCTTGTGCGTAGGGATCTTTAGCAGTGGGAGGAAACCAACGAGATTTGACAACTGGGGAATATGAAAACTGGGGAATAAAAAACAATGCCAGTTCAGAGTTGACTCAATGACAGACCTTACATGTATGTTACAGCACACACACGCTAACCAGTTGACCATCCAACACCCCCCCCCCCTTCGGCCTATTGCATTACAACAACTCCACAAATATCATGCAAATAGTTTATCCTGTCAAGCGCACCAGTTCTTCTGGGTTAGGCTACATTTCATTGCACCATAGGGCCCAAGCTACAATTGACAGTCTAAGAAGATGCCTTATGCAAGTACAAATAGGTCAAACGCACAAATTATATCATTACAGTTTGTATTGAAATAAGTAATTCTATCACAAATAGTGAAGATTGGACCACTAAAATAGTTTTGAAGCGATATTTCTTGTAATAAACCCGCATGGACAGGTTGAAACAGTATTAGAACATTTGGATGCTTAAATATTTGTTACTTTATTATTAAAATAAAGTAAAAACAAAAGACCTTATTTTTATATTGAGGGCAGGTGTATTTTTCTGCAGGGCTAGCAAATTTTGTCATGACACCTGCCCATGGGCTAGTGGTTCAAAAGTGAAATTGTGCACCCCTGATGGAAAGTGGCGTATGATCATGTGAGACGGAGTGCGCATGCTATTTCTAGCTGGACAGACATTTTAAGTTGGATAGGAGAGATATTTCGCATAGCAGTTGGGTTTCATCAAATCATATAATTATGCAGTATGGCTTCACCTTTATTTCTTCAATGGGAATTGGTTTATTATTATATATCAAGTAGTGGGGTCAGTTTTATGTGGAAATTAAGGGAGCTATAGGCCAGTAACATTTTGGTAGTAAGTTGACTAACTTGCTCAAAGGAACTGCTTAGAACGATACACTACTGTGGCTGCAGTAAGACGGAAGACATCAGTACATGTAGTTGAACCATTTCTACATAGGGTCCATGCTGACAATTATTACGCCGACGGGTATGTCAATATGGTCAAAATGAGCAGGATTGTCCTTAGTTTTAAACCGAATGTATCCTTAATTTAATCGGTTATATTTCGTAAAAAGATAATACAGACAAATGACACCATACTTACTTCTTTAACAGAGAGAAACTCTAAAAGGGGGAACACTAAATGACGATCTAAGTATTCGCCTAAACGCGTGGTTAAATCATACTCCGCCATTTTTAAGCAATACTTGATTAACAAGTCCTTCTTTACCAGACATCAATAGAAGGTAATATCAAAATGAAGTCTGGGTAATCAGGATAACATCGTTAAATGCGAAACCAATCTGTTCTTGCAATATTTTTGAGAAAGAAAACAGAATATTTAATATTTCATCAACATAATTGTTATTTTCTATTGCGTCAATAAAACAGATAACTAAACCCATTATTGCAAAAGTAGGCTCTTCCCATTTTGTCCCATACGAAAATTACGCTAATGACTAAATTTAGCTTTACTTCTCTATCCCAAATAGAAAATGGACGGGTGAAAAATACTTTGGTTTTTTTTTTGTGAAGATACAATAATAATTTAAAGTTTGGCTTTCGGCAGAATTATAGAAATGGAGCCGAGGGGTACCAGCAGTGAAACAAAGTCCGTAGATTCCAAATCACCATCAGAAACCGTTCCATTGCCCACGAAAGCTACAAATGGTGCCGCATTTGATAGTGACGACGAAGACAGCGAGGAGAGCGAGGAAACAGATAAACAACAAAAAGAAAAAGATGGTAATAATGTCTCTCTTGAAATCTAGATACCAGAATCTGTCCCAAACTCGTATCGTATCGATTATAATCCCCGAGTGGCATTTAGAGCTTGAATGTATTGCACATGGAGCAAACAAGGGTTGGGGGTTTCATTTGCTCTCCATTTTAAAACGACCTGTCCTGTACAGTATAGCCATACGTAGGGCCTACTGTAGTAATATTGGGTTAAGGACATAACGGTCCTAAACCATAACGGCCCAAAATTTTGGTCAGAAGGGCTGTAGTGATCAAAGGTATTTCCCAAAGTCCCACTTGGTTTTCCAAGGCGCCAGCAACAATATCAATTATACCTACATTGCAGGCTATTTGACGTTTAAAGCCATAGGTAGGGCCTACTGTAGTAATATTGGGTTAAGGACATAACGGTCCTAAACCATATCAGCCCAAAATTTTGGTCAGAAGGGCTGTAGTGATCAAAGGTATTTCTCAAAGTCCCACTTGGTTTTCCAAGGCGCCAGCAACAATATCAATTTTACCTACATTGTAGGCTATTTGACGTTTAAAGCATAATCTGAGCTGTAGCCATGGTAAAACAGCAATTTATGTGGGTTAAATCCCGCTGGTAGTACGGGACTCTGTGGAAAGATGGAAGTAGTCCCAGTTATCCTGACTTTTTGCAGTATTTCCGTGCTTAATTCTTGCATTTAGAAACCTGTAATTAAATGTACGGGAAGTGACAGTCTACAGAAAATGTCTGACTTCGACGAGATCTCGTGCGTGAAATGAAAATCCTTTTACTAAATTCTGGTGTGCAACCTAACACTTCAAGCGTGAAGGAGATAAATTCACGAGTGATAAATTGTGCTATTTCCGCCTGGCATGTAATTTCTAAAAAGTACCACTGAAATTCAAAATTATAGCAACCACTGCACACGTACATCATTAGCCACACATGGCAACTCTGCAGACTGGATGACGTGGACGCAAGTATTGTGGTCTTAAGTCAATTTACTGAACATCAAGATGATAGGCCTTTAAAATTGTTACACAGTGATGGTCGTAAGTAGAGTCTAAAGATCAAATGTCCAAAAACTAAGGCTGGGAATCGATATGAAATTTCAATATCGATTATCGGCAAGAATTTGTCAGCGATTATCGATAATAATCGATTATCATTTTTCCGGAAAAATCCGAACTTTACCGACCTGTTATTTGTGTTGATCGAGTTACAGTAGTGTTATTATCCTAGTCTAATACTGTGCCGATGTACGTAAAAAAATCAATTAATGTAAAATAATTAGTTGCTAAATGTAGGACTAACTTGAGTATTATTCTAAGTTCTGTTCTTGATTCATTTGAACCTTTTTTTATCTCCGATAAATACAAAGACAATACATGGTTTCTCTTTGCAAGTGACTGGCGATCACACAGTGTTACTACTAATAGAATAAAATAAAATAGAAGGCGTCTATTGATTGGACAATAAAAAAATAATTACGGGCTTTCAAAGTAGAATTTTTATGATTGGTTAATTTAGATGAAAACCAAAGTAGAATTCTTCCACGAAATTACGAGAGATATAGATATTTTCCCTGGAAGTCAAAAACGTGTTTTGTATGGGCTGTATCTGACATGATTTAGTAATAAAAGCGGAGTTGATCATTAATAATACAATTAGTTTTATCGTGAAAGCAGACGATTTCTCTACAAATCAACCAAGAACAAAGAAGGGAGATAATTCTAATTTTACTATATATCACGTGCGATTGTCATTGTTCACAAAGTGCGTGACCTATTTTAGTTTCAACTAGTAATAACAACAAAAACAACGAAAATATTAAAATAATGTATTTAATCTTAAAGTTTAGTTTTTTTACAATAATATATGTTTAAAATGTGCCAGTTTGTAAGCAGAGGGGGGAAATAGTTGTGTTGACATTGTGTATTCATTCATTCGTCTGCTAATGCCAGACTACGGCAAGTTCAGTCATGTGAAAGTGACCGTAACTTGCCGTCAGAAGGTAAATATACCGATAATCGATATTTGAATTTCAATATCGATTATCGTATCGCTAAATAACTTCTACCGATTATCGATTATATCGATATTTTTGCACAGCCTTACCAAAAACTGTGTTTGAAAAGTTTGAGTTCAGTTTTCTGTAACACAATCTTGACCCACGACTTTGATCCAGTTATCTTTTCTGAAGCCCATACAGAAATAATACAGCCAGAAATATGGCTGTGACATGCATAACGCACAGTCCCCAAGCTCGATTGGAAGTTTGGACTCGAGGTCAAAGTCGAGATCGCGTTTGGTTAGCGTTGTTGACTGGGGGTCACCATGACCTTTGTATTGGCCACGCCCATTGACTTTTTTCCGAGTTTGACCGTTTTCTGACCAAGCAGTGTGTGGCAGGACCCAGGTAAGGTCCATTGTCCAAGCAAAGATGATGGTCTTTCAAACTGGTTACACATTGAAGGTTGTACGTCAAGATCAAATGTCCTTTTGCGAATTTTGAGTTCCGTTTTTCGCAGCATGACCTTGACCCACGACTTTGACCCAAATATCTTTTCTGAAGCCCATCGTCTCTGCTATCACTTCGAACATTAACCTCGATAATACAGTAAGAAATATGGCCATGACATCCATAAACGCAAAGGCCCCAAGCTCGATAAGAAATTTGAATTCCCGGTCAAAGTCAAGGTCACAAGGTGATTGCTTGTTAATCTTTTGTGGCTTCACATCCTTCCAGTTTTAATCTCACGGATAATTGATCGATAAGTGTTTGCTTCACACCCACCGATTGAAGGCCGGATTATACGGTGTCGATTCAATGGAAATCGTATGACGGGACGGCTGATTGATGTCGTAATCCGGAACGTACAGAGGTCGAATTACCCAGAGATTTTTTGGCTGAAGTAATAAGGAAATAAATCGGGACATGAAAATGGTGTCGGATGTAACAGAGTGTCGGAGTGATCAGAGGTTGGATGTGACAGAGTGCACTGTATACATCACTACCCTGTACTTTGAACAAGATATGGCAGCTTCAATTCCAGCCTGTAATAAATGTGTCATCTGCAGAAAAACTGTTGATTGTGATCTTTGTAAGAATTGGACACACAGATCTTGCAACACATATTACTAAAGAAGAATACGTACAGATCTTAAAGTAGCTAAGGCTCTAACACAGTATCATCCAAAGTCCTCGACATTGAAAACACAAATTATTTGTCAATTTAAATCAATGTTGATGATGTGATGTTACCGGAAAAAAGATGGGCTTCTGATATCCAATATTTAAGACAAAATAAATATTTTATTTGTACACGAATCTTGTACCAGACATATTCCACAAGTCATGACAACGGTGACGTCATATTCTTATCTGAAGAGCATGCGCAATAAATACTATCGATGTAGACTGGAATAACCAGACACCATTCGATTGAGACTTCTGGCATATTTCTCCAAACATAACTGATTTGAAATTAGAGTAAAAACGGAAACGATTGAATATAAATCTGTCTATATACATTCATATTACATTATTATATGCGTTGCGACCCATTTTTGTCAATTTCTATTTAGCTTCTTTAAACTCAGAAACTGATTTTAGATTTACCTACAATATTTGTTGTATACCAGTTAGTAATTCTTTGCCACACTAGATACTAACAAGGCTGGAGAGCAGAAGTTAGGGCTTTATAAATTGGTTAACTTTCCTTATGATGAGGCCCAACTTCTGCCACTTCACTCAGTGTATTAGGGTTGTTATGTATTGCAATAAATATTGTGTATGTTAGATATGTGTATTAGGTATTTTGAAATAAATATGTTTATGTTAGATGTGTATTAAATAGATGTGTATGTAAATTATGTATTGTAGCCTATAAATGTCTATTATTAATAAATATCATTTGATGCATAATATACAAAATGTTGTTTTTTTATTGGCCATTATGAATAAATTTTTTGTCCGTTATGATGAATGTGAGGCCGTTTTGACCACATTCTGTAATATTTAAGTGGTGGGAGAGCAAACTTCTGTTCTCCTCGGTTCTTTCCATGATATTGCCACGCTGCATATCCTTAAGGTTTTTCGGTTACTACGCTGCTGGGTATTGCCAAGGGAACGACGAAATGTCATTTTGTCGAGCAACAATAGATTTTGAGCACACTGTTAAAGATCTGGGGATGTAGGCTGTCAAAAAGCTTTCCATGAAAAAAAAACACAGCAAAGTCAACTAAATAATGCAAAATGTTACATACTACCGGAATCGTACATTACAGTTTGTGACAGCTCTTGGACTAAGTTTGATGAATGAGCATTTTCTGCTTAGGTTATGCAGAGTGTCATCTATTTTGTTGGTGGTGTTGGGGAGGAGGCTTGACTTGTTATTCTGATAAGCCTAGAGATGGTTAAATAACTGAGGAATAGAGATTATATATTACAAATTTATACAGAACTGACAAATAAATTGTTGATGACAATATAATGATATTGTAAACTGCTAATCCGGAGGGGCTTTCCTATTGTGCTGAAGAAAAAAAAAATGCCAATTGAAAGGCAGGATGGGGATGAGATTCAGCCGAAAGAAATGTATTTTTTTATTTGTAAAATTTGGAATATGTCTTATCTTTTCAGGAGCTTCCAATAACCCTGATTGTCCAGTCTGTTTACAGCCTTGTATCCATCCAGTCCAGTTACCATGTCGTCACATCTTTTGTTTTCTTTGTGTAAAGGGGGTTGCTAATCGAAGCAGAAAATGTGCCCTTTGTCGACAAGTTATTCCGCCTGACTTTTTCCTGCATCCCACTTTGGTTCGTAAAGAAGATTTGGAACACACAGTAACATTTGATGATGCTTACCAGTGGTTTTACGAAGGTGCCAATGGCTGGTGGCAGTATGATGATAGAACTAGTGTAGAGATTGAAAATCACTTCAAAAAACAAGATAAAGGATTTGAGCTATTAATCGCTGGTTACATGTACATTATTGATTTTGAAAATATGGTACAGTGTCGTCGAAATGATCGTACCAAAAAACGCAGGATAAAACGTGATCTAGTCAATATGCCCAACAAAAAAGGTATTGCTGGTTTAAAAATCGGAAATACAAGCAGTGATCAGGAATCTGATAGGCCTGGTGGAGATGGCAATGAAGCACCTGTGCTGTCATTACCTGGAGGACAACAAGTCCCCATTCCTATTGTACGCATTGATAGAACAGGTGGGGGATATGACACTTCCCTTTCTCCTCCCACTCCTTCAAATACCCCACAAACACCACAAACCCCATCAGAAAGTCCCCCTACCAGTTCTTCATCAGAGAGAGATTTATCAGTACATTTAGAAAGACTTCATCTTGGAGATGGATCTCGAGTGTCTAGTAGTCCACCGCGACTTCCGTTAGCTGAAGAATATCAACGTATCAGCGGAAGAGATACAACAAGGCTAAACGCTGTACATTCAAGACTACAAGAATTAGAGAGCGATATTTATAATCAAGTGGAAGATGATGCATCAACGCCAACTGAGGAAACATTGGACAATTATTATGTTGACTGTGATACAGATCCTGATAAAACTGATTGAAATGGTCGATGTTATTGTGATATACATAAACTTACATTTATTATTATAGCTCATATATTGTACATACATGATCTTATATTTGCTAGGAATAGCATCACTCAGAAGCTTTGATAGGCTTATATGTAAATTTATTGATGTATTGTGATGAAAAATTAGAACATTTTAAGAGTGCATTTATACACAGAACACCAGGGCTGGCCACGAATAAATTGATGGCGAGCAGATGACTGCTCACGCAAATTTAGGTTTGGGCGAGCAAGGCGAGCAATAAAAATTGCTCACGCGAAATGTTGTTTGCGTGAGCACACGTTTTGTAACATTGTTTCAATTTAAAATCATAAGAAAATTGCTATTCCTGGCACAAAGTTTGTAGTAAACATGTGTGACCATTGATGGCGAGCAGATGACTGCTCACGCAAATTTAGGTTTGGGCGAGCAAGGCGAGCAATAAAAATTGCTCACGCAAAATGTTGTTTGCGTGAGCACACGTTTTGTAACATTGTTTCAATTTAAAATCATAAGAAAATTGCTATTCCTGGCACAAAGTTTGTAGTAAACATGTGTGACCATCGCTTTCTGTTTTTGACAGTCATACGTACTCTTCTTTATTAAAACCAATTTCCGTATGGATTTCTTCACCCCACGAAATAAATGTGGATAGGGCAATCAGGTTGCCTTTGGCCATTATTACGCTTAGATTGAAAATTATACGACTGCACAATGGAATAAAAACCGAAGTTCTGATAAAATAGGAAATACCGATAAATATTAGTTTGAAACGTGTTCATTTAGCGTGAATGCCAAATGCCGGATGTAAACATTCTTTACTTTAGACTCGATTATCACATGTTTGTTACTGGTGTTCGTGGGAAAACCAGTCATGACGTTCAGGTCTAAAGTGTATTTTTAGTAACACAAGTTGCGAGTATCTTTATTAGCCAATCAAATTTCAGGAGGAAATGCCGCGTGCAGCTGGGTGAATCTCAGTTTGACAGACGAATTTATGACGTTATTGACATTGTTGGGTTAGTTTCGGCAATAAACTTGTCAATATTTTGATTATTTTTACTGGGTTTTCTTAAAATTTTGCGCGAGCAACGAACCGCTCGCGTAAATGTAGACTTACGCGAGCAGTTGCTCGCGTCTCGTGGCAAGCCCTGGAACACCACAGAACATAAGGTGTTCTGTACAGTTAATTGAATTGGTGTTGATTTGCAACTCATGTACTATACTATAAATGCACACATATCCTTTCATGTCACATAGGACTTGAGGTGCTGTCAGAAAAGTTACTATTCTAAACATTAAATGTACGAAGTGAGTATGGTGTGGGAATTTTGAAAACCTAAATGTCAGCTCCAGACAGTCTGTGTTCAGCTCAGGCTAACGGATCAAATTGCTAAAATACATATAGGATAGTCAAATCATGGAGAAAAACTAAATATTCCATTGACATTTTTATATATTGGACCCTCGGATTTACTGATACATATATAATTTATCGGTTTGTAGGCATACACATATCAACAACTCTCAATTACCAACACAATACATGTAACTACCAGAAATTGAAAATTCGATCAAAAGTTCATTGCACATATCTATAATTATGGTGGCCAGATTATCGTATTTTATCAAGGTGGATAATCCAGTTAATTGAGCCAAAATGTTCAAACTTGGTGTAGGTGTTCATTAGGTAAATGCTTTGATGGAGTTCGAAGATGAGCATTTTCTGCTTAGGCTAAGCAGAGAAAAACCATTTGATTGGTTGATGCTTTGGGATATGATAACTTTAGTTCTAATTGGTGTATTGTGTCATCACATCATTACCTTGACTAAATTCGATAATGCGTATTTTTGGGCTCAGGGTAAGCAGAGTGATAAGCAATTTGACTGGTCAAGACTTTGGAACATAACAACTCTGCTTTTAATTGAGGTAGAATGTTTAATCTTGATGTTGATGTTCATTAGGTGAATGTCGACTGAGTTCAATGATTAACATTTCTCGCTAAAGCTAAGCAGATTTAAGCAATTTCATTGGTCGATAACTTTGATTCTAACTGATGGAGATTGGTGAAGCTGAGTGTATAGTTTCACTACCAGGGACTTCAAAACCTTGACAGAGTTTGATTGTGAAAATTTTGTGCTTAGATTAAGTATAGCTAATCAGTTTGATTGCTCGATACTTTTGAAAAAGATTAATTTTCAATTTATTAATATAATATGTCATCTATTTATTTTTGGATTTCGACGGGGGACATCAGCCTCACTGTTGGCTTGTCAGCTTTGAAACCTATTGTTAATTTGGTAATGGGAGATAAATATAATATAGTTAAGCACTTTATATTAGTGTACTGTTTTGTTACCCAGTTCATGATCAGGACTTCAACTCTCAAAAAGTTTGAGTTTCCAGTTTTGGACATTGCTCTCAGATTAATGAATTATATGATCTCTTTATATTTAAATTTTAATTCTGGCATAAATATTAATAACACTATATTATGAATCATGATATTTATAATATGCACAGTTAACTAGAATTACATCTATTTGTATTTTATGTTGTACCCGTGTAAAATCGTAAGTCTGTTTCTTGTATGTTGGTGCCAGTCTGAATACTAAGCATAGTACTTATAAAGAGTATACACTGCCTAAGTTACCTGATGTGAATAATGTATTTAAAGAGCTTAAATGTGTCTTGTTAAAACCCTAGGTCCTAGGTTGAAAAAATACTTAATTTGGTGACAGTTTCATTAATCTATTGGGTTTTCAGAACTTGCATGCAAGTAACAAATAAATCAATATGATTAAAGTATAGATCTATATTTCGTTTCTTTTCTTTATACGCCCACATTGAAATGTAGTCATATATTGTTGGAAAATTGATATATGTTGTTTACATTAGTGACATGAAGAATCCTATTTAATTTCCGTTAATTACGTCTAAAGTTATGATCCTTGTTTCTTTTTGTTAAACCCTGTGGACACTCTAATGCCAAAAGCTAACATCCCATCTTTGTGAAATTTATATGCATTATTTAAATTAGTGAAACGAAGAAGCCTATTGAATTTCAGCAAGTTCTGTTTATTACGTCTAGAGTTATGGCCTTTGTTTCACTTTATTGAACCTTGTGAATGCTCTTTGTGAAATTTATATGCATTATTTAAATTAGTGAAACGAAGAAGCCTATTGAATTTCTAGAGTTATGGTCCTTGTTATACATCCACATTATAATTAAATGAGGATGTATATTGCCGTCGCCCGTCTGTGTGTCACCTACAGGCCGCAATTCTTAACTGATCATGTTGAAACTCTCCATACTTATTCCTTATACACTAAAGATGATCCCTATTGTTTTTAGTAATGCCCGACCCCCAGGGGCAAAGCCACACCCATTTCTTGTATTTGTTTTTAGTCTACAGGCCGCATTTCTTAGGGGATCATATACCCTAAGGAACATCCCTATCATTAGCCTATTTTTAATTTGAATTTTGGTTGACCTATGAAGATTTAACTACATGTCAATTATCTGTTCTGTAAATGGTCAAAATTATTCTTCAACAAGCCAAAGCATCTGTATATTGGTTAGATGACAGGTCATGATGAAACCAACACCAACTTTTTAAAGGACTTTTCTGTCATTTGAATGAAAATTGTAAAAAAAGTACAGTCTAAGTAGTAGTTATTAGCACACTTTCCGAGGTGTATCGGTGAAGATCAGGACAGTTTTGGTCGAGGGACCCAGCCGAGGCGGCCCCCAACCAAAACTGTCTTGATCTTCACTGATATACCGAGAAAAGGTGCTAATAAGTCACTTACATCACATTTCTATCGAGTATTGTAAAGCGAAATGTGGAAAATTGTTCTTATTATCGAGTCGTGTCAAGCGAAATGTGAAAAATACTTTCTGCTCTTTCATTTATCCCTTTCTGTGCCTCGCGTTACATTTCGTGGTAGACTGATTTCGCAGTGGAGAAACGACCTGAGTAGTATTTACACGTGCGTTACCCTGAACGTAAAACACTCACATGTTTTTCTAGACTGCATTCCGTATTGAAAGATGAAGTTGTTTTGAGAAGTCGGTGAACACAGAGCCGACCACATTATGAAAACAACTTGTCCCTGGCGTAAAGGACTGCAATTATATTAAACGTTATGTAAAGGACACTGCACAACAGAGGTCAATCCTTGTGAAGTGTGCATCGGCGGATGGTTCGTCCATTAAAATTTATTTGTAATAAAATCTATGACTTTCTAGGCATTTGTTTTCATCCTGCTTATTTTCAATGCTTGTATAAAAGTGTTTGTCGGAAATGAACAGTACTCTTTATGGAAGGCGTACTGTTCATTTCTGATACACAGATACTTTTATGCCTGTATTGGAAATAAACAGGACAGTTTTATCAAAGGTTGCCACTGGCAACGAGATAGAAGTGGGATGTAATTTTAATTATCCTGCCTCACTACTAAGTGTATATTGCAAGTGACATACACATTTCCTGGTACATTGCCTTCCTGTATCTGTAATTGCATGTATGACATATTAAATTTCAAGCTGTATGTGTAAATTGTATACATGTCAGGTCAATGTTGTGTATTTATATAGAGTGAATCCTTATAATGGCAAAGATTGAAATGATGTATTAATTGATGGAGATTTAAATAAGTGATAGATATGAACAAAATTATTTAATTAATGTAGTTATAGTATTTATCAAGAATGTCAATTTCTTTCTGCTTTTAATATTCTGAAGTAAAGTGGTGTATATTTTAAACCGGACTTAAATGATTTTTCAAAATACTAATATTGGTTGTATAAGAAAAAAACAGCAGTTGCCAGGAAAGATACGCCCACATTATGCAAGAGATAGAGAACAAGCTAAAAAAAAAAATGTGATTTTTCGTACAATCAGGGGCCATAATCCAGGAAGTTATGGTCTGAAATGCATGAATATTGAATTGGAGATACTTTTTTATACGCCCACATTGAAATGTGATCATATATTGTTGTCGCCCCCGGCCGTCCGGCGTCCACAAGCTCTATAGGCTAAAGTTAATATCCGATTGACATTAAATTTATACACAGTGTTTAAGGTCATGAGACGAAGAAGCCTATTGATTTCCGATTACTGCCATAGTTATGGCCCTTGATCACTTTGAAAAATCTTGTGGAAGCTCTAGAGGCTAAAGTTAATATCCGAATTTATACACAGTGTTTAAGGTCATGAGACGAAGAAGCCTATTGATTTTCAGCGATTTTCGATAATTACTGCATGACCCTTGATGACTTCAAAAAATCTTGTGGATGCTCTAGAGGCTAAAGTTTAAATTTATACACAGTGTTTAAGGTCATGAGATAAAGAATCCTATTGATTTTCAGCGATTTCTGATAATTACTGCCATAGTTATGGCCCTTGATCACTTTGAAAAATCTTGTGGACGCTCTAGAGGCTAAAGTTAATATCCGATCGACTTTAAATTGATACACAGTGTTAAAGGTCATGAGACGAAGAAGCCTATTGATTTTCAATGAAACTTTATGACTTGAACAGCTAAATCCATGGTGTTAAAAGTTTCGTATACTAAATGTTAGCATGGGGCAGAACTTTATAAAAACCAAACAAATTCTAATGGTTTTCTGATAATTACTTAATGAGTTGTTACTCTTAATCAGATTTTAATGTATTATAAATGTTGACTGCCCGGACGATATAGCTGCTGTGGGCGTATGTATCGATGCCTGGCAACCTATCTTTTTTTATTTAAACATATTTTATTGATCATAAATCATCAAAGGGATGACACTTTTCGCTGGCTCTTTTCTCTGCGAAAAAGTGAGTTCGACCAGTTTCTACTTTCCAGCCGCGAAAAAAGGAGCAAGCCAATCAGAATTCCGTAAACTCTGACGTGGTAATATAACTCGCGTCCATTGTACACCTTCCGAATCAAAAACCTTTTTCTGTACTTTTGCAGTCGAATTTGACGTCTGCGTAGCAGTAAAATGTTAATCAATCTTACCTTTAACAAGAGTAAATATCTCGGATTAAAAGCAGCAGCCATTGTGGAAGTTCAGGAAGGAAACCTTTTGCGCCAATTCTGCTATGAAACAAAGAATGATCAAAACAACCGCTTGTGTAGTGGAAAATACAAGCACGATTGCTCGAAATCTTTCACGGCGAAAAAATTCGCTTTGTGCGAAAAAATTCACCTAGTGGAAAACAGGCTTTAGATGTCAGAATTTTTATCTAATTTTGATGAAACTTAATCAGTGGTTACCATACAAGATACTAGAACAAGGGGAAAAAAATGACATTTTTTCGGACAACCAGGGGCCATAATCCAGAAACTTACGGTCTGATATGCACAGGTATCTGACCATAACTTCCTGGATTGTGGCCCTCGATTGTACGAAAAATTGCTTCTTTTTTTTTTGTTTGAAAGTTTGTTCTCTGTCCACCTTTTGCTTAACATCCGCCTGTTTAACATTTAAATGAATTCAGTTTGTGGCCATATGTCTGCAGCAAATAAACAAAGGATATGTCATTCACTCATGCATTGTTAAATAGTCAGTTATAAAATTGATCTAAAGTAATCAGAATTAATATATTTTGTTAATAGAATTCTTTCTTTTATTACAAAAACATTACCACACTACTATACTGATATTATAAAGGAATCAAAACAAAATGTATACACAGATTTGAATATAAATGATACATGGGATCTACAAAATTAATTCTAAATCATTTCATTTACCAATCAAATAAACCAATAAAAGTCCTGTACATTTAATTCTAAATCATTTCATTTACCAATCAAATAAACCAATAAAAGTCCTGTACATTTAAGCAATTTAGGGTATAAAAAATCTACATATTATTAACCTCAGTGTTTAGATGCAAAAAAATATATAAAAATTAAATTGCCATTGGCTGTTCTAAAAGTTTAGATATATTTTATCTCTGCCATAACTCTGGTAATCCTGCATAAAGAAATGATCCTTTACAACCCAATGATAAAAACATGATTCAATTATTACAGTACTACCATATAAAATAACAACAAAAATCGATATTCAGTAATAAATACTTTACACAACTTAACTTCATAATCATGGGAAACAATTTAAACTACATTCACTATAAGCTCTTGTACATGATAAAACTAAATTCCATGCCCTACTAGAAACTTGGCACATTCCAGTACATATCAATTCTCTTATATAGAGTGTATCAACACACAATTTGATGTTTTTAATCAACTGACACAAACAGATGATTTTTTAAAAAACATCACGAAACTCTGATTTTGTTTGGCGAAAAGAAAGATAAGAAGTCTTTAAGATACAGTGAACTCTATCATATCTGGCTACTACAGCATTCTGTGAAATCCGTCATCATTTTCATGTCCCGATTTATTTCCTTATTACTTTTCAACCCAAAAAGGTTTGAGTAATCTGTATCCTGAATATTACCAATTACAACATCAATCAACGATCCCGTCACACAATTTGCACTGAATTAACATTGTATAATCCTACAGGTGTTAACCTACGAAAGATTGACAAGCAATCACCAATCAATTATCGGTGAGATTAATACTTGTTTCAGTCTTTGTTGATTACCTGGATATCAACAGAATAATGCAGGAGTGGTTTCAACATCAAAGCCTTAAAAGTTAGTGGCAAAAGTGCAGGTGTTTAACTCAGTACCATGGAAGAATTCTGCATGCACATTCCATCTATTGTTGAAGGGTATCATTGTGTGATAAAAAGATAATGAGTTAAAGGTGGAAAAGTTTCAAAATAACTAACAATCTTATTTTGTTGTAGCACTACCCGTTCTATTTATGGATAATGCACTATCTAATAACTGTAATACATAATAGCAACATAAATAATAAATTTTTGCCACCAAATACAACATCAATATAGATCTACAACGGAAGACAATTATACTTCCGGTATTCGAAGACCTGTACAATAATACTTCCCGTATTGAGTATTCCGTCATGCTGTGTAATCCTGCATATTTTAACAATCCTGTATGATGTCAGAAGTGACAGATTCCACTGTAGTTGTCATCTTTCTTATTCTTAAACATGCATTATGCAAGAGCTAAATCTGCCTATTGCAGGTCTTTCTTTAGGCCTGAAATGTTTTCTAAAGTATTATTTAGACATTAATTAACTGATCCAGGCCTTAATCAATTCTCGAGGGCATCAGATTTCTCCGATGTTAAATGATTAGAATGGTTCAGCGATACTTTGATTTAATCAAATATGGAGGACCGAGACTTAGCTTCGATCAACCAGTACGGTGGTTGAAATTATTGCACACGTCTGTCAAACCTTCAAAGGCTAATATCTTTGCTTGCAATAGAGTAATTTGAATGAAATTTTCAAATTATTCATTTTACATATTATAGCAAGAATGGCTAGTTCTTTATCTTAATCTTACATAAAGTATTTTTAAAGCAATTACTATATTCTTGTTAAGTTATCGTCTCCTGACTGATTCCCACTACCATACCTCAGGTTTTCTTATATGTACAATATAAAGACACCAGAGGATTCTTATTAGTTGGTAAGATAAGCCAGTTAATTAATAAAATGATGGCCCATAATTGTTATCTAAATGTTGACATAGTTTTGGGATATTTAATCTTATATGATACTTTAACACATGTACACATTATTAAAAGCATTTCTTATATTTTTAATCAAAGCACATTGACAACACTCATTCTTTGATTATAATTAAATAAACAAAATAAAACAAGCACTTTTTCAACCGGGATCAAATATTTCAATTAAAGACTTCATACAAGTAAATTTTAGGATCCCCACTCAAAGCATCCCAAATTTAAGAGATAATTAAGTCACCAAATTGGAATATCTGAAGTCTAGCTCTAAAATTCTTTGGATATTAATTATTTTAAATCTTGAGATAATTATGGTGAGATTAGGCAATAAAAAAACTGGTAACAAAAAGTTCTGACCCATTGATCGATTACATAAGATTATGCAAGAAAATTCTAAAATGCATCTATTTAGACTCGAAGACGAACATACACAAAACCTGTGAGTGTTCCAACTAAACCAATCTTCCAATACAATGATCTCCCTTCTGCCGTTGAAAGAAACAGAGCAGAAATACCACCCCATAACATAAATGATGGTAATGTTGATGCTATACTCGTCTTTGATTTTGTTACTTCACCGGGGAATGTTTCTAATGTGGCTCTTGAGTAGAAATATGACATCAATCTGAAAGAAATATTTATATAATATTAAATATAATCCTAATTCTTGAGTGGCATTTAGCTATTGAGCACAATAAAAAAAAAAAAAAAAAAATTCTATGGAAAACAATCACTGAATAAAGCTTGTTTTTGAAACGTTAACACTGGTCAAAACGTGCTATATGTGATTGTTTTCCAAATAAATCGTCATACTGATCAGCAGTGAATATTTGCTAGGCTGCTACAAATTAGAAAAATAACTATAGGTGTTTTAAGTATATCTGGATAAAAAATATTTCCTATTTAGTGTAAATATGGGTATATAAAAGGCATCATTCTGCCCAGGTCAGTTGATGTTATGTAAACAATGCACGCACCCTCAATCCAATGATTGACGCTGCATGATGTGATGCCACATGTAGAATGCATTTGAACTTATAACGGTCAGCCATCTTATACAGAGGTATAAGGAGTTGCTTTCGCAATACCTCTGTGAAACAGATTAATAAATTGTATCGTTATAATCTACATCAATATCATTTCTTCTCAATATTCACAACATACTACTATATACAAGAGACAAAGATTACTTGACATTTAAACAGCCCAATTCTATTGATGAGTGTATTGTCATCAAGCACATATAAAAGTTACATTTTATAAACATACTTTTCCTTTTCTACAAATCGGTCATGTAACCAGCTACGTAAACCATTAATATCCTCTGGTACTTCTTCAATGGGAAATCTCTTCACATGAAGATGAATTTCAGGAACTTTACCACTTAGAAAATCTACAATTTAACATAATAATAAATACTATTGGTTAGTCAACTAAACAAGCAAGAACCTGTTGAACTAATTAGTAATTAAACTAAAACAGTTCTATATTTCACTGCGAGACATGTACCATGACCAAAGTGTTTGTGAGGACCATGCCAAAAGACAGTTGAGACCCACCCCTAGCCCAATACATCATCTACCAAATAACCAAGTGACATTTGAATGCTTGTGGTTTGTTCTGTGACTGTTTTAAATACATTATTGAAGAGATAAAATAGAATGAGCTAGTTTTTCAGTTTATGTCTTTACCTTTCTTTGGTTATTAAATAACTATCAGTGTGACACTACAGTGTTGTTAAATAGATCAATGATGAATTACTTCCCCTTTGTGATTAAGCCCTTTTTTTCGACTTCACGTTGTGATAACTATTTCCAATGTTAAATTAAGACTGGAACACTTTTTACGTTAACTATGTTTTTATATCTTTATAACATCCATAATACAGGAAACTACGTACACAGCTATGACATTAAATATAAGCTAAATATGAGTTCTCTTTCCCGAGCTTGTGTTTACTAGATTACGATTACCATCATTCTCTTTACCCCACCATTTCGTAGGACAAGTTTACTGACGTACCCCCTAACATCATATGGCTTTCCTACGACTTAACAGGGTGCTCTAATCCGAACAATGTTTATTTCCCAGCCTCTCAGCCTAGAGGCTGTTGGTATAATCGACCTTCCCCTGGAAAGGCTCTCAATGATATCTAAAGGAAATTAAACTCACTCTTTCTTATATAAAGATGATACATGCATGAGTCAGTATTCAGCCCCGGGAAATTGACCAGGTTCTTCCTTTCTCGGATTGGTCGGTTGCAAAGAAAGCTACCATGGATTTCAACACAGTGTACTTAAATGGGCACCTAGGAAGACAGTTGCCCGTGTGTCTAACGCTTGGGATTACCATGATGTCATTGCCCGATTTTACCAGACTTTATTCTTGTTAGCCTAGTTCTTGTTGTCAGTGGTACTAGCTAACGACGACAATACATTAACCAGAACTTCTTTCATAGAGAACTAAGATAACCTCTACTGTATATAGGCCCTATTATATCAGTATCGCCTAATTCTCATCTGGGGTAAATTATTTCGATTAGTGTGAAAAGCCAAATAACTTCAACGGGAGCATCCATGATAATTCTTTCAGTTTTTGTTTTTACTTTTTAATTTACCTGGCATTCCAGCTGCAGGGATTCGTTGTCCGTCTTTATTTAATGTATTACTATAACCAATTGTTACATCATAAACAGCATCTAAAGATGCTCGAAGATTACTTAAACCAACATGTACAGCTTTATGTCTTGGTGTCAAAACATTACTCAACAGAGCAAATCCTGAAAATAAATCATTATATTATTCCTACATTATCCAGAAAATCTCTTATAAGAATGTTATGAGCTAAAAATGTCAAGATCTTTTGGTTATAAACATACATTGTCAGTTTTATCAAAATCGCATAAAAATTGTAACCTCTAGAATGTCCACAACCTTGGTATTATTATGTATATATTTGTCAAGTTCAGCATCCCAAGAAAACACCATCAACTGTGATTGCATGGTAAATTGTTAAGGGAATTAAAAAAGAAATAAAATTTCACTTCATTGCTGAGTAATTTTATTAGCTAGAATGTGTCTCTATCCCCAGGAGCTTTTGGGGGCGGCCCCTGGAGTCTCGTCTAAAGTCATAGGATGGTAGCCCCCCCCCCCCACTAATCGAGAATTGCTTCCGCCGGCCCTGCCAATTTTTAAGATGATCTATTCAGAATTGCAGACTGTATATGATAAACACAAAAATTGGGCGTGGCTCTGCCCCTGGGGGTCGGGACCTGCACCAAAATCACTAGTTGCCGTCCTTAGACTATAAGGAATACATATGCCAAGTGCCAAGATGATCCATTAAAAATTGTGACCTGTAGGCGACCCACAGAGAGACACAAATATTGGGAGTTGCTCTGCCCCAGGGGGCCGGGGATGCACCTAAAAATAATAAGAGTTCATACTTAGGGTATAAGGAATAAGTATGAAAAGTTTTCAAGATGACCAATTATAAGAATTGCCGCCTGTAGGCGACACACAGAGACAGTAGAGAAATTGGGCATGAGGAATAAGTATGCAAAGTTTAAAAACAATCCATTAAAAATTGCGGTGTGTAGGAGACCCACAAACACACACAGTGGCGACGGCAATATAAGTCCACATTCATCCACATTATGAATGTGAAAGTATAAAAATAGATAAGTGAGGCTAATTCTCGAATGACCAGTACAGTGGTTTCAATCAATGCACACATCTTGTCAAAACTACAACCATTGATAACTTTGCTCAAAAAAAAGTAATTTGAATGAAATTTTCAATATATTTATTTTGCATTATCTATTTTTTAAATATTACTAGCAGGATACCCGGCTTCGCTCGGGAGTCATAACTCCGAAACCGGAAGTGGTAGCCTAACGCCACCTGGTCTATGTTACTCCCCGGTCCGAGCTACCCATATACCCCAAATTTCAGACTCGGGGCAGACCTAGTGTAGCCGCCAACCCCGAACAGACCGGCTTCGCTCGGGGGCATAACTCCGAAACCGGAAGTGGTAGACTAACGCCACCTGGCCTATGTTACTCCCCGGTCCGCCAACCCCGAACAGACAGACTTCGCTCGGGGGTCATAACTCCGAAACTGGAAGTGGTAGACTAACGCCTCCTGGCCTATGTTACTCCCTGGTCCGAGCTACCCCTATACCCCAAATTTCAGACTCGGGCCAGACCTAGTGTAGCCGCCAATCCGAACAGACCGGCTTCGCTCAAAGGTCATAACTCCGAAATTGGAAGTGGTAGACTAACGCCACCTGGCCTATGCTACTCCCCGGTCCGAGATACCCCTATACCCCAAATTTCAGACTCGGGGCAGACCTAGTGTAGCCGCCAACCCCGAACAGACCGGCTTCGCTCGGGGGTCATAACTCCGAAACCGGAAGTTTTAAAATACAATTTTTTTGAAGTGAGACAGCATAATGCCAAAAAATATCCATTTTTGGGGCATGTTTATTGCTGTAAATCAACAACGAACATATATACTGAGCGCCATGGAAAACACATCACTTTTTTTCCCAAATATTTTATTAATAGGTGGTTTAGTATGTATAATATTATGCAATACTATGAACTATTGTTTCACACAATGCTCCTAAAAGCAAAAAATATCGGCCCGTGTGCACAAAAAAAAATTGCACGAGATGCACATGAAAATCCCAATATTCACGAGCAGCATTGTGTGTGAACCCTTTAAAAGCATATTTTCAACTTAATGTGCAGTACATGAACTGTGAAACGTAAATCTGTCGTAATTTGTTGTTGGACGTGTGAAGGAATCAAGCTAGAGATGCCGAGAGTTACTGAAAATCAACGGAATGAAGCCATGGGAATGTCCAGGGCTGGCATGTCTACACGTGCTATTGCCAGACACTTCAGTTGTCATCAGTCCACTATTGTAAGGTTGGTGGAACGTGTTCGAGTTACTGGATCAACACGTGACCGTCAACGTCCTGGTCCACAACGCGTTACAACCCAGGCTCAAGACCGCTACATCCAGGTCACTCATCTGCGTGACATTTCGCCCAGCGACTCGAACAGGTGCAGCAGTCGTCGGAAGACAAGGACCAGTAAGTGCCAACACCGTAAGACGTCATCTAAAACAAGTAGGACTCCGTGCACGACGACCTTATGCTTGAGATATCCTCAGGGATCATCACCGTCAGCAGCGTTTGATATGGTCTCAAGGACACCAGACATGGAGAAGAGTAGACTGGCAAAGTGTGCTCTTCAGTGATGAGAGTCGCTTTCATCTTTATCACGCTGATGGCCGTCAACGTGTGTGGAGACGTCTTAAGGATCGTCTTGCAGACTGCTGCGTCTTCGAAATGAATGGATGGGGTGAAGGAAGTGTAATGGTTTTGGGAGGCTTCACATTTCATCACCGGACCGCTCGACACATTTGCAGGGGTCGCGTTAATGCTGTAGCCTACCGTGATGATGTCTTGCAACCAATTGTTGTTCCAATGTTTCGAGCGCACCCACAACTTCAGCACTTCCAACAGGATAATGCACATCTGCATACTGCCCGTTTTATTAGGACTACCTGGCTGCTAACAACATCAATGTCTTGGACTGGCCAGCCATGTCTCGGGACATGGCACCGATAGGGCATGTCTGGTATGAGATTGGACGCCGTCTGTATCGGAGACCACAGATGCACACCATTGCTGCTTTAGAAGTTGCTCTTGTCCAAAAATGGAACAATTTGCCCCAGGCCTTCTTTCAAACATTGGTAAATTCCATGTGACGTCGCTGCACAGGGTGCGTAAGAGCCCGTGGAGGACACATGCGCTACTGACATCTGTGTCGTACTTTTGGTTTTGACCCCTTTGACTTTGTACCGTTGATTACAGATTAAACATCCATAAGTGTACAAATGTGTTGTTATTGATGTGTTCCCATTTGAATATTGTTCACAATAAGAAGCAAAATAAATAAGATATGTTTACAGGATCATTTTGTTATACGAAAAACTAAGTGATGCGTTTTCCATGGCGCTCAGTATATATTGACTTGAAATTTGGTGTATTTAGGAGAGGTCATTATTACAAATGTTGTATATAAGAAATGAACTGTAAATTCTCTAGGTTGTTTCCAAACTGTATATAACATCAAAAAATTGAAAACTGTACAATCTGATTAAAATACAGATCTATATTTCGTTTCGTTTTTTTTATACATTTGATGGCCTACAATACATGAAGATCTGACCAGTTGTTTTGGGGGACGCGTCACAGGTCATACGAGCGGCTTTTGCCCCTATGACGTCAGATATTTGATTAACCACAGTTCTGTGCAACTCACACCAAAAGCTCGCCGTAACAGACCGTTTCATTGGCTAATCCCTCACATCATCCAGAACATGTAAAGACAAGGCTGACCTTAAAAATATCTCTGTTTCGCCTAACGCGACCGACTAACTAAAACCACCCCCGACTTAAATTATTTCATTGCACTTTTCCGCGATCTTTTTATTTTATTTTGTGTGTCAACCTGAAATATATCACGAGAGTTATTTCCCTTTACTATGGCTATGGTTTGATTCATAACTGAAACTGGTTGATCAAGACGAAAGCGTCATAGGTGTCGCTTCTCAACAAAATGGTTGCAGACGAAAGCATGTCCATTCCCACAAAATGATTCTGCCTCAATGTCTGTGGGGCGTCGTTGTAAACATGACGACGATATTTTCAATATCCGTTTTCGAGAAAAATGAAGGCACAACCCGCACGATCGTTAAAATCATGTTGAAGGAGTTTCGCACTTCAGGTTCGTGGCAAATCGTGTGCGAGTCGTGCATCACGAAAAATCCCGATGTCAGACCCAAAATTCATTAAACAAAATTAATGAATCTGTACAGCTAATAAGTTTTCTGTATTGATTTCTCTGACTTTAAAAAAAAAAATCTGAAGAAAAAAAACGACCTACCGACCCTTCTCCTCGATTGTGGGTCGGGTTTGGTGAAACAAAGATATTTTTAAGGTCAGCCCAAGTAAAACGAAATTTTGAACTATAAAAAATGGAACGAAACAGGATCTGTGTTTTTATCAGATTGAAAATGGGACAAATACTGTGTTTTACCCGAAACCTCCCATAATGCCCTTTAAGTATCAATGAAAATATTACCCTCTTCTTTAGCAAACTGTTGACTCTTAGCAATTGTTTCTGGTAATTCTGGATTGAATCTAGTTCCTTCAGGAAAAACTACCATCCAGGTCTAAAAAAAGAGCGTCATATTCATATACTAACAAGAGATGTATACAGTTTCTAAAATATTAGCAAATAATAATTGTCTAACAGTCCAAGGTATAAATACAACAGATTTCACCATCTATCCTTTAAAGGGGAAGACAAACAATTCTCAACCAGGTTTCCATAAATCTTAAATATATATTCATATATAATACCCTCTGTAAAAAAAACCAAAACGTTTTTGTAATTGAGAAATACATTTTTATTAAAACCAGAAGTGACGTAGTTGGTTGAACATGATCACTGGTCTCTATAGTAAGCATACAGATTTGGCCTAAGTTTACTGCTGAATTTTGTTTACGTGTCGTCCTTTGACCAACAAAAATCTGATCAAATGGGCGGTTTATTAGGATATTACCAACACGAATTTATGTTTTTTTAACGTTTAGTACACAAAGCCGTCATGTAAATTCATTCATACTGAACAGTAGGCGGTGACCCAATTCATGCCACATGGCTAATTGTTTATATCACATGGTTTGTTTGACAGCTTGCAAGTGACATGTATTCCGTCTTCTTCGATGTTTTTGTGCTTGCTGACAGTGTTTTTCAAAATAAACAGATCAAAATTATGGGCATGTGAGACATATAATATAGTACATTTTGGCACATAATGTCGATGTGAAGACTTTTCCATTCTTTCTTCCATTTCCTCGCTTACAAAAACATTTTTGATTCTTTGCTTGTGTTACAGAGGGGATTATTTATCAATACATATTTAAGATTTATGGAAACCTTGTTGAAAAACGTTTTTTTTTATTATTTTCTCACCGGTGTGTTATTCCTCTGTAGAACAGACAGACGTTTTGCTGCTTTGGTTTGTTCAAATTTTCCACTTCTCTTTACATATACACATCCATGCTAAAATAGAGTGTATCACATTAGTTATCTGTCTTTGATTAAACAAAATCCTTATAACATTTCACCATATTATTTTGATGCACAAATACCATAAAGCGGTGGACACACTAGCCAAATCATTCAGCCGAATCAATCGGCGTCAAAGTTCGCCTAGTGTGTCCACTGCCATGCGGTTGAATGATTCGCCTGAATCAAACATGTTTGATATATTTGCCTAGTATTTCCGCTTCGCCAAAGCATTTGTCCGAATATAGAATTCATTAGCCAATCACCACTCATATCAAGAAATCACGTGATTGTTTGAAGACATAGACGCCACAATCGACTAGTGAATGGAGCGAAGCATTCGCCTAGTGTGTCCACCCATTTGGGCGCTGACTGTTTCGGCCAAATGATTCGGCTAATGTGTCCACTACTTTAGTACCCAGACAAACAATTAATCGTTTAAATATTAGACCTAGGTTCTAGACCAAGTAAATACCTCATTGTTGCAAATATTGTTTAATTTACCCTGCAACACTTTAAGGTAACAAAATTATCCCCATTAACAATTTTCATCATAAGACATGTACTGGTGGGTAGTCTGGTGCCGAGCTAAAGATCCACATCATGCAGTTATCTACTTATGCAATGTTATCCATGCTGATATATTTTAAGCTCTTTTTTTTACTTTTACATAATATTCACATTTTATTTTAAGGTTGTAGTGTAAGAGGTACTTACCTCTGCAAAATAAAATCCATATAATGGAAAATATTTCAGGCCATCTTTCAAAATATATCGCAAGTTACCAAGGCTACCCTGTCGTATTGCCAACATATCACAAACTACCCAATCCACTGTTTACAAAAACCAAAAAAAAAATCATTTTATTTAAAGCTGAGTTACCAGTAAACAAAACAAACATCCACAGCAATAACATCTTTCAAGCTGTCCATAAAGGATGTTAATACAAAGCAAAATCTTTATACCATATAATATCATGAAAGTGATAAGATTCTATGACATAAAAATGGGAAAATAACTATATTGTTGTAATCAGATGATACTTTTTGCCGTTAAAGTGTTCACAAGTTTTTGCAATGTGAGCAAGTCTAGAGATCATTCTTGAACTTGGATAGGATTCTTTATATCATTAATGTGAATGATGCATATAAATTTCAAGCAGATTGGATCATTTTCATTGCTAGAGGATTTTACACAGTAAACAAGGGCTTTAACTGAGCATTGAACATTAATTGTTTCAATAATCCAAACAATATAAATAAATTCCAAGTAGATCGGGCAATGACTTGTGTCACTAGAGCCAAGAGGGATCACAATATTTTACAAAGCAAACAAGAGCCTTAACTCAAGAAATAATTTGCTTTAATTGCCAAATAGCAGATGTACACATAAATGCTTACTTGTACACTGATGATTTGAAATGTAAAAGACTTTCTCTTTCTTTTTCAATACTGCTTCTACATCACCATACAAGAAAATCTTTAAAAAAATTGAAATGATAACAGATCAGCCTATTTTCCACCTGACATACATTTATACTGCCGTAAATTACAGCTATTACTTTGCTTTAGTGTCTCTGTCAATGAGATCCCAGTGTTCACCAAAAAAAGTTCATCAGGATTTCCTGTAGTGGTTCCCCATTGTCAGTGATGCAGGCCCTCCTGGCAAGGGATGCAATACCTAGGTCCAGTGTACACATTGGCGTGCACATAAAAGAACCCTTGGCAGTTGGAATTTGGTTAAGAGTAGGCCCTAGTGCTATTGTCCAGGCAGTATTTCTCTCAAAGAACACTGTGTGGAATATGCTCGTCGTCATTAGCCCAGTCGGAGCAGAACAGTAGAACGTTAAATTCCCATTTCATTTCACTTTTCTTATATATTGCAACTAAGAAGAAAACTACATTTCAACAACATTTATAAGTGTACAGTGGTAAGAATTCTGTTCTGAAAATGAGTGACGGTCCAGATATTTATTATATTTTATATTTTACTTTCCTTATTTCACAGGACAAGATTTGTGCACTTAAGGTCTGTGGGATTGCATGCCTGTATTTTCTAAGCATCGAATCCGTTTTCAAAATTAGTATACTAATCCTAACTCGGTATATCAATAATCAATTATAAATACAGTTAAGTTGCTACATACAAGAATTTTTTTCACATCTAACTTAAAAGGTCACTTTCAATGTCAATCAATAAAAAACAATTTCATTGGCTGACACTGACCCATGGCCCAGAGTTGACTCCATGATCTCCAAATATAAAAAAAATGATAACAATTGTCATTATCTTACAGATAAGATTTCTCGAATTATGCAAGAATTATTATCATAGTTCTGGTGTCATAGATCTGGTTTGGTCCTGGTTCCTTATGCATGGGACTCAAATAAAAATGCATCAGTTACAATTACATATTATCTTTTTATTCCCCAGTAAGCCAGTTTTTATATGGAATCTATATAAAAGATAAGAATTGATAAATCATGTTACTTCCATATGTTTTTGGGTTTTTTTCATTTTATAAAACAACCTTGAGTTAATGGGAGCCACGGTGGCTAAGTGGGTCGTCACATGTTCGATCCCTGCACTGGTCGAGAAAGTTCATCTGGATTTTCCGACACAGTTTCCCCTTGTTAGTAGTGGGGGACGGAGGGCCTGATAAGGACAGCTATCTGGGTGTTTAGATGGGACGAAAACCTGAGGGCCTGTGTATACATTGGCATGCACATATAAAATCCCTTGGCAGTGGGAATTCAACATAACAGTAGGCCATAGTATAGTGCCACTGCCTGGGCAAAATTTCCCTCATAGCGTACAGATGGCGTATGCCCCTCTTCATTACCCCAGTTGGGGTCGAATAGTAGGACGTTAAACCCCATTTCATTTAATTTTTATTTCCCAATGGTTTATTTTGGGCAAATCTTTGATTTGGTGTTGTATTTCTTACATATTTTTCTTTTCATATTCAGTAAAATGGACGTAAATTAATTAAACTCAATTGTACCTGAACACCCGTATAATGTTCGAAGAAAAATAGAAGGAATCTTTGATAAGTGGAATAAAGCATATCATCACCGCGTCTATAGAAACGAGATGGGAGGATTGCTGTCAAAATACGCCATGTTGTCCACACGGTTAAATATGACGGGGCAGTACCCAGCATAATTGCTGTCGGGGCAAACCATTTCAGGGCTTGTAAATAAAGAATTAACGACAGTAGCATTGTAATTAATTCGTCCTCCCTTACAGAACTTCGACATGTGCCGACAACGGAAGCATGCGTTTCTTGATTGATAGCGCATGCGGCATAAATGACCCTTGACCGTGAATGGATTATGACATCATAACATAAACAAATACACGTGGAACGAGAACGACCATCAGTTCGCACGACCCTAGAGAAAGATATATTTCTCAGATCGTACAAAGATCTAGTATTGTGTCATCAGCTCACAGGTTTGGAAGTAAAATCGAAAGTCGTCAAAATGAAGAAAAAGGGAAAGAAAGGGGAAAATGACCGATGTCAAACACCAACAGAACATCCGAGAAAAGAGAGTCATGGCCCAATGGATTTGTTAATGAAATTAACCCACAAGAAAATGGTATATTTTTTTCTATTTTATTTATTTAAATTAGCTTATTAATAATCTATACAGAATATAATCTAGATACTTAGATATAGATCTATGTAGACTTCTAATCTTTTGAAAATGTGTAACAAAAAAACAAAACAAAAAATTTGATAATGATAAGCCCAGTTCGAATTTACCACAGTTTTTCAAGGGGTGCATGCATAGAATAGATCTAAAATATTTAAAAAAAAGAAATTCTTAGAGGGCCAAAAGCAGCCAATGGGCATTTCTGATGTCTAAATTTTTTGCCTCTCCCCATTTAGCATTTGATTAAAACTTTTAATGAACAGTACCTCGCTCTGCACTTTATTCCACCAATTTGAACCAGACAGAATTCAATCTTGTCCCCAATCTACTAAAACTGATGTTCCTTAGTTAGATTCACCTTCAGGTCTAATTACTTTATATAATTTTTGTTTTTGTTTTATTTCTTTAAAAAAAAAAGCCAACAATACAAAATAAATTGTATTTTATTTCCAGTCTTCGGGTTCAGCAGTTATTCCCAGTAATTCAGAATCTTCTAGTCCTAGTTATGAAAAACATAATACCATTGAAAGTGACCATTTGGGTAAGTTTATTTTCAAAAATTCAACATCTGTTGTGCACATGGGAATTATGGGTAATTATTGAGGTTGCTAATAAAATAAAGATTGATTATAGACCTTATGACATTTATAAACAATTCGGTCCAAAATGTATTTGAATCAATGAATTCTAACTTAAACATACATTATGCAAGAGCTAAATGTACATATTGCAGGTCTTTCGAATCTTTAGGCCTGAAATGTTATCTAAATTATTAATTAGACATTAATTAACTTATCCAGACCATAATCAACTCTTGATGTCATCTCTAGGCTGCGATATTTACTGATTAGGATCCGATCTACTGCTCTACGCTCGTTCATGATTAAATCAAGAAATGGGTAATCGAGACTATGTACTTTATCATACAGAGTTTAGTAATGGTGATCGAGGCTAGGCTCAAAAATTCAATCGCTAAATTCTCGGTTCAGAATGGATCAATTTGACTGAAATTTTCAGCAAATTCCCTTTACATTATCTAGTTCTTATCTCCCACATTGAAATGTGGTCGTATATTGTTGTCGCCCCCATCCGTCCGGCCGGCGGTCTGGCGGTCCGGCGTCCACAATTGCTTGTGGACACTCTAGAGGCTAAAGTTAATATCTGATTGACTTTAAATTTATACACAGTGTTTAAGGTCATGAGAGGAAGAAGCCTATTGATTTTCAGCGATTTCTGATAATTACTGCCAGAGTTATGGACCTTGATCACTTCAAAAAATCTTGTGGATGCTCTACAGGCTAAAGTTAATATCCGATTGACTTTAAATTTATACACAGTGTTTGAGGTCATGAGACCAAGATTCCTATTGATTTTCAATGATTTCCGATAATTACTGCCAAAGTTATGGCCCTTGATCACTTTGCAAAATCTTGTGACGCTCTAAAGGCTAAAGTTATCATCCGATTGACTTAAGATTGATACACAGAGTTTAAAGATCTTGAGACGAACAAGTATATTGATTTTCAATGAATTTTTATGACTTGAACAGTTAAATCCATGATATTAAAAGCTTTGTATACAAAACGTTAGCATGTTCAGAACTTTAAAAAAAACAAACAAATTCTAATAGTTTTCTGATAATTACTTCGTGAGTTGTTGCTCTTAATCAAATTTTAGTGTATTATAAATGTTTCATTACCGAAAAAAGTAAAAATATGTGACAACTCTTGTTGACTGCCCGGACGATTTAGCTGCTGTGGGCATATGTTTCGTTGCCTGGCAACCTATCTTTAACTATTTTAGTGTGAACTGCCAGCTCTTTATCTGATCTGCCATAATGTATCTTTAAAGTTAGATGCATGATTTGCATTGTTTGGAAAATATCAAATTTCTCACAGCTTAATTCATGCTAATATGTATTATTTTTTGGACTGATAGAGATTCCTCTTTCACAATATTGTAGTTTGCAATGGGATTCTGTAGGGTTAAAATCATTGGTTTCTATTGATATCTCACTTTTGAAAAAAACATGTAAATCACCCTGGTTGTGCATTTAATGCACATGCAGTCTGCTTATATTTCTCTCAGAATGATTTTCATACACCCACATTTTCATGTGGACGTATATTGTCAATGCCCCTGTCTGTCTGTCCGTCCATCCACAATTGTTTGTGAACAGTCTACAGGTCACAATTTTTATCCGATTTCAATGAAACTTGAAATATAGGTTTATCACCCTAAGATCTCGGTTCCTTTCGATATTGGCATGTATCGGACAGTAACTTCATGGATTATGGCCCCTGATTGTCCGAAAAATCACGTTTTTAGCTTGTGAACACTGTAGAGGTCACAATCTTTATCCGATTTGGTTTAAACTTGAAATGTATGCTTATAACCCACAGATTGTGGTTCCTTTTGATATTCACGCATATCTGACGATAACTTCCTGAATTATGGCCCCTGATTGTACGGAAAATCACTTTTTAGCTTGTGGATCCTATAGAGGTCATAACTTTTATCCGATTTAAAAAAACGTATTATTATATCAACGTTACACCCTAAGGACGACTGAGTTCGAATTTCGTGAAAATCGGACCAAAACTGACAGACAAAATGTCCTCCCTTCGTTCTCAAAGATCTTGGTTCCTTTAGATATTCACCCATATCGGACCGTAATTTCCTGAATTATGGCCCTGACTGTATGAAAAATCGAGTTTTTAGTTTGTGGACCCTATAGAGGTCATAACTTTTATCCGATTTAAAAAAAACGTATTATTATATCAACGTTACACCCTAAGGACGACTGAGTTCGAATTTCGTGAAAATCGGACCAAAACTGACAGACAAAATGTCCTCCCTTCGTTCTCAAATAGCGTAAAAATATGGTATATCAAGGTTGTGGACCCTATAGAGGTCACAATTTTTATCCGATTTTGTTGAAACTTTAAATGTAAGTTTATAACCCAAAGATCTCGGGTCTTTTTGATATTCGCGCATATCGGACCGTAACTTCCTGAATTATGGCCCCTGATTATACGAAAAATCAAGTTTTTAGCTTATGGACGGACCCTAAAGGGGAAATAGCCATTACACCCTGTTAATGTTGGTGCCATTTATATACACAGGTATATGTAGAGTTTTCCAAGAATCAACCCATCGTTGACTTAACACCAAGGGCAGACAGGCTCAATAGAACTGAAAAGAATATGCCAGACACTTTACATGTTGGGTTTGGGAAGTTTTTTGTTTTTGTTGGGTTTTTTTTTATTTTTAATCATTTGACCAAGTTAAGAATCTGATTCACTCCCTCTTTCATTAGATTTGCAGGAAAGTCAAGAAGAATGGTATGAGGAACTTAGTGATGACCACACATCAGCATTTAAAGAGGTATAAAAATGACCAAACACTACTATTTAACATGACAATTCTTTTAAACCATTACAGGCAAGGGGGTATTATAGCCAAAGTAGTCACACATCCATGGGCACGTGATCCATTTATCACCAACTCTTAAAATCATTTTTAAATGGCATTGAAAATAATAACGATGGACCTGAATAAAAACAATTATTACTCTAAATATAAACTTATGGACAAATTTTGCGTCCATTTTACTCTGTACAATTCAATTCAAAGGGACATTCTACATATAGAATAATATGCAAATTCTTATGTTTAGAAGCAACTGAATATTGTCTCTTTCATTATTTCATACTATTTTGTAGGTGTTTGATATGTTAGATTCAGCACATACTGGTATGTTAAATGCAGATAATCTGTATGAGGGATTAAGAAGAGTAGATAGTGAAATAACTAAAGAAGAAGTGCAAGATGTTTTAAAAACTTTAGATAAAGATGGAAATGGGGTGATAGACTTTGATGAATTTCTGATGCACATTACTCAGCAAGGTTCTGATGATGGGGGTATGTTATAAAACTGTATCATAAAGGCATATTAATGAAGACTCGAAATTATACAGTACATATTTCCAAGCATAGAAAAACTATATACATCTATCTGACCTATTTAATACTTTTGCCCTACTTGGGGGCTCCATCTGTTGCCAAAACTTTGGCTTATAAATCAGACTAGAGTTGTTCACAACAACACATACTATCTACAGATTTTCTTAATTTGAAAGGAACATTACATTTAACAATAAGGGGTGGATCAGCGTGTACAAGGGCTGGCTGTACAAAGTCAAGTTTATTTTTCTACATAGTCCACTTCAAGGTGTACACACTTTTGCAAATGATGTTGCAAGGCCTGGATGCTGGTCAGGAAGAAATTTTCTTCAGCTGACATGACGTCATTATTACTAGGAAAATGATGATGACCGGCTTGTTCCTTTCTCATTTTTGGAAACAGGTCTCATCCATGATTACAAATATGTCCAAAACATTATCAGGATCTGCTTCAAAATGGTGCAGATTGTCACGGGACGTCAGGAATCTGACATGTTTCTGATCCAAAGTCAAGAGCTTTGGCACCCATCTTGCAAAACTTTTTGTCATTCCTAACCCGTTGGCAATAATATGCTCAACCCTCGCATGAGAGATGCCCACGTTTCTGATCCACAGTCAAGAGCTCCTAATCTTACAGAAACTTTTGTCATTCCTAACTCATTGGCGATAATGTGCTCAACCCTCTCCTGTGATTTTCACAACACTAGTAGTATTTTGTGTGGTCAATCGTCTGATCAGCTATCACCATGTCATGCACCTGGGTATTGTGTTCTTGAATGTTTGTTGCTGATAGTCTTCCAGTATGTGGGTCATTGTCAAGGCTCTCTCTGCCACTCTTTAATTCTGCAACACACTTCTTTAATGTGGAAAAGGATGGGGTATCATTCCCTAAAGTGGAGACCATATCAACATTTATCTGTGTTGGGGTTAGTCTTTTCAGTTGTAGGTACTTGATGACTGCCCTATAGTCAGTTTTGTCCATTTCTGGTGATTTCAATGGGTATGTTGCGACCCATTTGTATCCATTTCTAGGTGCCAAAGAATAGCGATTTAGCTCCTTTAACAAGAATGGAAACAGACATGATACAAGTATATTTTAATTATTTCTTTTGTAATTACAGGCAACAGCGGTGATAGTAAGCCTAAAGGTTACACTAAACGACAACGATTATTTATCTCAGCTTTGAAAAAATTCAACATCATGTCTGAACTATGTAAACCACAAAAAGTCCACCAACCTCACGTTTTACGGCACTACACGGCAGGAGTTCGCTTAATCGGTCTAACAGACAAACAAATTGCCATCAAGTTAAAAAAAATGCAGAAGGCAGGAAAAAACATCAACTCTCCATATGCAAAACCATTAACTTTTGTTATTCCAAGTGGAAGCACAAATCAGATCCAAACTCTCCGAACAACAATTGGATTAAAAACCTCAAACGCACTCCCTGATTCAGAAAACAAACGTAAACAGCCGCCTAGCCTGCTTTTGTCTGGTCTTAAATGTGGAAGAAGTCAAGCTGATATGGAGAAGGAAATTCAGTCTTTTGTTTCAGTATGTATTATATAATATATATTTTTGCTGTAATATTTATTCATAGTGCATGTACGTTGTGTGATGATTCTCCCTCTTGTACAGATTGTAATCTGCGCTGTTATCTTGCACGGAATTGAAAAATTAAATGTAAATGAATTATATATAAACACTCCAGACGACACATCAAATTCGATACATAAATATATTTAAGATTGATTGTCAGTTTAATAAAGTTTCAAGCTAAGTCAACTGGTTGTTTGCAAGGGCTACTACTAGTGTAATCCTTTCATGACAAACAATACATTTCAATATTGACTTGATTAAGCACAGTATTTTTTTTAATTAGGGTACCTTTAAATTAAATGCAAGATTACGGTCTCTAAAACTACCACATGCAGTTGATATTTTGGCCCTTGAAAAGCCAGGTAAGTTACATTGAATCCTTTTTTAATGTCAGACACGTTCATCCTTATTGCTTCAATAACACATGATACCACATTACTTTTAATTATAGTGATTTCACCTAAATTTGCAATTTATGTGTTACTGAATTAAATTTTAAAGTGCACATAAGGTCACCAGACGAAAATTTCTGTTCTTGTTGCCAGTATTTACTACATGAACTTTGGGGCAAGTTCACACCAATCTGATTAAAATTAGACTAAGCAAAGTGCCAATTTTGAGAATTTTTATACTAGATTATCACAAAATTATACATTAATTACAAATATACAGTAAAGTAATGTGTGTTGTTGACCATGACTTTATAAAATTGAAAAATAAAAATTATATAAATGGACAACACTTGGAGGAAACCCTTTCCTCCCGGGTAGGGAGTGAAATGCGTGCTAATTGAACTACCTAGACTAACTGGTCCATTGCAGATGGACATATGCTATGTAATGTGCTATGCGGGAAATTTACCTGGACAGCGGCACTCTGGCCTGCTTTTATTTTGAATTCCGTCAATGATTCTTTTACACGAATGCCATTGTGTACGCAGAACCTCTGGACGCCCTATCATGAGTGTACTAAAAGGGATTCTTTTCCCGGGACAGTGGCAATGTGTAAACAGGACCGCAATTTTTGTCCCATCTGAACGACTAAACATTGTACCTTGCCATGCCCTCCAATCTGCACTAAGAACCGTCTCAATCAAACGGTAGCAAACCTCCTGATTAGCGATGTAGCACCTTACTCACTGAGCCACCATGGCTCTTTTGAAAAAATAAAAGTAAGATTAGATTTACAAAACGGCTCAAATCTTCTTAACAACACTGTATATCTTCAAATTAAAAGACAATTGTTTTTGTTTAAAACAGCCCAACAAGAGAGCTTTAGTTTTAATGGTATTCAATGAAGACGTCATGTAGACAAAAGACATGTCATATAAATTCGATGGCAAACAATTACATACTCAAATGACTTATTTTCACTGTATAAGCCAAAACACATATTTTGGTAAACATTTAAATTTATAATCTGATTTTGGTAAAATGTTTAGAATATGCACCAAAAGACTCAATTTATCGTTTGCCATTGACATTTTACCTGATTTCAAGTCTTACACTATTTTAAAAAAACACTTCGATTTTATGACGTCACTAAAAAAAAATCTAGGTCAAATATTAAAATTCTAAACGCACCGATCAATTGCAAATTAATTGTTTTTGCTTTCCAAAAATATGACGATATTGAAAATTGGATTAAAACTGCAACACGAGTAGGATTTTAAAGATTGACTTATATTTTCAAAATGGTTGATAGACTACTCGTATTGACAAATATTTTTAAATAAGGCAAAATTAAAGAATTTGTAAAGCTGACTTTATCTTCAAAGGGGAGATAATCGGAAAATTTTTGTTGACATTTTTGGCTTAATCCACCCATTTGTAATGTATTTTGAAAGTTTTAAGTCGTAATCTTCAAAAATAATAAAGTTACGCTCAGAATTTTCACTTTTGAGCATAAAATTGGGCCGTACGCATGCTTCGTAGAGGCCAAAATGCCCCAACATAAAAATTGAATAACACGAACATCTACAAATTGGTGAAAATCAACATTCAAATTGGTTGAAAAACAAAAAAGTTTCCTTTGATATCTAATATTGGACTATTTTCGTCGATGACGTCACTTCCTGTTATCATTTTTAAAGTTTTAGTTATTCATTCACGATTCCAATAATCCGAACAAAAGCAATAGTTTTCTGGTATAAAAACTAATAATAATCTTTACAAAAACTATATTCGTAGTAGAAGTCGCATATATTGACCTCGCGTATAAACGACTTTGCCAATTATCAAAAACACTCTTAATCCCCTCAGGGGCCAGTGATGTCACAGTGATCAAATGCATATACGGAATGTTGGTTGCAGCATAGGTAACTACAGCATAGGGTATGTTTGTGATCGAGAGTGTCTTTACTTTGGACGGAAGAGAATCAACAGCACATTATGTACCATTTCTTTGCTTGAATTGCGACAACTCTCAACTACACAAGGATAATGTGTCATTTTAAAATTTACTCTAACATATTCCAGTCATAAGTATGTAAACAATTACAATACAAGACGAGAAAGGTCAGCTCTTCAAAAATGCTTTGAATTATAGTGATTTGTAGCTTACACATAGGTAATTATAATCGGGTAATGATTAGGTCAGTAAGCATGTAACTAATTGAACAGTCAATACAAACTAGTCGACTGGTGGTGTGTATGGTTAGTGATAAGGCCTTAATAGTGTATATTGTATGTGTGGTCCATGTGAAGTCACCAGCCAATTAACCGGATTACGACTGTAATTTTTAAAAATTTTAAAAGCATTTTCGCATGTCTGATACTAAAACGCTAATATGTCGAATTCTTTAAATCAGATTGCTGTGAGCTTGCCGTAAAGTGTATATATAGCCACTGGGTATAAGTACAGAATATTTCGTCTGGTGACCTTATGTGCACTTTAATATTCATAGTCCTAGGCCCAATTTAGACTGTCTGCTAAAATAAAAAGCCATACATTTTGGCAGTCGGTTAATAATAACCATTTAAAAAAGAATGTAAAAGTTATTAATTTAAAAAGTCTGTAGGGCATATCATATACTGTTATACCCAACCCCCATCACATGCGGTTATGTTGTATCTGCCTTTTATTCTATTATATCATGTTTTTATTTGCCCACACTGAAATGCGGTCACATATTGTCATCACTACCATCCATCCATATATCTGTCGTCCACAATTGGTTATAACACTACACAGTATATGTATTTAGGTTCATTTTCAACAATTTCGGATTATTTCAGAGTTATTGCCCTTCTTGTGGATGCTCTGGGGACTAAAGTTATTGTCAGAGTGACTTGAATACATCCACAGTGTTCAAGTTCATGAATTTATACACAGTGTTAATATGTTCATGAAACAAAGAATACTGTCAGTATTGTAGGAGTTATTACCCTACGTCTGATGTATGCTCTACATGTAGAGGCTAAAGTTAATACATGGGTGGACCTTGGCTTTCCATACCAATTAAACGACCAGGCATACTTTCTCTGTCAGCCTCCAGACACTACACTCTGAGAAATAAGAAACTCAAAGGTTCTTCTTGGGCCAATGCTGGGATTCAAACCCAGAATATTCTAGTCGAGAGTTCCCTACCACTCTATGGCATTATTCATGTTTTCTATTTTACATTTAACCCTGTAGATGGAGAGAAATCTGAACTAAATGCTCAAGTGCCAGAGAATATTAAACCTCGGAAGAAAGGAACAGGTAAAGTTATATTCAGTTTAGGAACTGATCACTATAAATTAAGTATTTATATATATTCACAAATTATTAAGTCAGTACTCCCATAACAAGCCTGGAACCAAGGCACATCAGTCACAATGTCGGGCACAATCCGTTTGGTGTCATAGATATATTAGCAAGTGCAGGGGGACTGCACCACACATAATTACAAAAAACAAATCCACGGACAAGACACAATACGCAGAAATCACAAATAAATGTACATATCAGGTTAAGTGAATGGATCCGGGTGGGCTAGCCTTAAGTGTCCACTGTGCTGTACAGTCCCAGGCCTTTTGTGGTACAGACTTTCCTCAAAAATGAAAACTAACAATCAGGAATATAACCTAGAGAAAAACATATTTGTAATACTAGTACGAGTCATGATCTGCTATATGCCACATAGAATATGAATGTAAGCATATTGAAGTAAAAAATCGCATATACAAGTAACCGTATAGGTGAAATGTTTAAAAAAGCCAGGTAGTCTAAAACTAAATGGTCTACGCTACAGTGAGAAACATTTTAAGTGTTCAAAAGAACTGAGGTGTATTGACTACAAAGTTAGGGCATATGTCCGAGAGAAAGTGTAATCTGTCTCGAAGACAGTCGTCTGCTGAGTGAATAATGTGACGTAAAAGGCGGTAGTCTGTCAAATGACGTCAAGAGTTAAATGTGATAAAAACCAACAATAAAATGGGTGATAATCCAGATAAGACAACGTCAAAAGGTTAAACTGTCAATTGCACAAAATATAACAAGTAATACACAAGAAAGGCAAACCAGGTATGTTGAAGAAATTGTACAATGAAAGTGTATCAATATTAAGGCATAAAATAAGGGCGATAATCCAGAATTAGGAAACTGCAGAAAATTAAAAATAATATTAAATTAGATCATTATTCAATATGAAGTCGGTTATATACTAACAAGAAATGTCAAACTTGGTATGTTGAAGAAATTGAAGTTTCGAAATTTCTTTTAAAATGTGTAAATGTGTACCGCCTTTTATATTTGGCAGTGCACTTCAAATAAAGAGATTTTTTTCGGGAAAGAAATAGTGTTTTCTATTCACGGGCATTACGATTTTTAAAATATATAGCGTGGTATCTGGTATGTTACTATAAACTGACGGGTATTTTACCACCTCAAAGCCAAATTTGTCTGTTTTGTCGAAAATACTAACTTTAAATTTACTGTTAATTATATTCATATCCAAGTCAAGAACAGATGCAGTTATAGTGCCAGAATTTTCTTTTATTTCTTTAATATTCGTTCTGGGGGGATATATTTCACATTTATATTTGTTGAAGGTTCTGTTATCATTGATAGGTGTTATGTCATCAATGTATCTGAAGGTATAGTTTAGACTTTTAGCTACTTTGTAATTAGTTTTTCTTTTATGATCCTGAAAGCAGAATTTATTTATAAAATAAATGTGCATTTGCCATAAATGGAGTGGGGTCAGTTCCGATTGGTAAACTAATTGTTTGTTGTATAATCTGATCCCCAACTTCAAATATGGCATTGTCAATGAGAAAATGTATAATGTTTTGGAACTTTTTTTTGTCAAAAACCACAGCGTCGGCATTTCAACGTTTTATAATTCATTTAGTTTCTTCTGAGTAAATGGCCATCAAGTTTCTGCCTTTCCCAAAAGCTCCATTAAAAGCTTTATCCACAAACCAATCCAAATTATCTTTAAGATCTGGGCTCTGTTTCACGAAATTTTAACTAAAGATAAAATCCAAACTTTAGTAGATACTTCAATTTTGATTGGCTAAGTAAGCACTAAAATCAATCTAATATTATCCAATCAAATTACTAAAATTTGGATTTTATCTTAGTTAAAAATTTTTGAAACAGGGCCCTGAATGTTGATCACTGATAGTGTTACTTAAATACTAGATGTGATGCAAAAGTTGGGACCATAGATATATATAGAAATTTTAAAGTAGTTTTTTGAAAATGCCTTTTAAGTAGATTAGTGTTTGCATTTTGAAGAATAAGTTTTTATGATATTTTAAAATGGCTCTAATATTATCCTGGCTGTTCCTTGCTCAAACAATTTCTCTATAATAAATATTCTTCCAGGTTTTAGAAGTCGTGGCTGGGTTATGCCAAGAACAGAAAGAGACAAAGTACCTTTGCCAGTTCTCAAATTAAGTGGCAAGAGATATGGTTTAACTATTGAAGATCTGCCTGATATTCGTGAAAAAGTGAAACTAGCAGTCGATCAGTATTATGCTAGGTTGAGAAATGCATTTGTACAAAATGCTTATGATCACTGGGAAAAGTTGTATGCTCATCATATTAGATCCAAGCGTCTTCTCAATATTTTCCGAGAGTTGTACCGGGCATATTCTCCCCATAAAGAAGTTGAAGCCTGTGTTGTTTGTCCCTGGGTTCCAGGACCATTTAGACCTGTACATCATTCCAGAATACACAGTACAGCTGTACGCAGGGAACGAGTAACTAGCCCAGATCTCAAGCATGGTGCTCGAAGGCCTGTCAGTTGCATGTATTAATCAAATCAATTCATTCAAATATATATTTTTTTCCCCTTACAAACTGTGTGATTTGATGATATATTTGGACTAAAAACATATTCATACTAACTAGTCTATCAAAAATTTGCTTCAAATCCATCTCAAAACGTATTCACCGGGAGATACCTACAGCTATAAATAAACTGTCTGTCATCTTACTTCTTTGTGGGAGGGTCAATTTTTCAAAATGTTTTTTTAATTACTTACTGCCTAAGTAAATTCTTAATTATTTTCTGACAACTTTTTTTTCTGCTGTTTAATTGCAGAGTCTTTCGTACTTTGACACCCCTCAATTTTCCCCAAACCGCCTGACCATTTGATCAAGAATAACAACCACTCCCTCAGTCAAACTAGCACACAATAAGCTGGCAGACAGCAGTCGGCTTGCCAGTTAGTGATACCCTGCCATTTTTTCTCATTGCTTGCCTCATGGGTGTCTTTTGGGTAGTCCAATATTTTTCTTGTAAGACTGGATGTCTATACTTTCCATATATACCACATTTGCCATACTTTTATTGGAAATAAACACCCGATAAATACTTTTGGGCCAATGCATCTGTAACCATTTGTTATATTTCATAGATGAATATTATAAAAATTAAAGATGCATTATGTAAGATTTAGATCAGGAGCTTGCTATAATAGATCAAAAATAGATCATCAAAAAAGAATATATTGAAAATTTCATTCAAATTACTATATTCTGATCGAAGTTAACAGTGTTTGATGTTCTGACAAGATGCAGTGCAGATTGTTTATTATCATAGCAATACTACTTGAAAATAGAGACTTAAGTCTTGATTATCCATTTTGTCCTTAAATTTTAAAATCTGGCTGGTTTTGTTTTCCTTTTATTCTTGGCCATCCGATGGTGTAGATAAAAAGCTGATTATAGGCTTGTCATGTGAATAAATATCAAATTCAATAGTTTAGACCTGCAAAAGGAAGATTTAGATCTTAAACATAATGCACCTTTAACCATTCTAGAAGATATAAATACATATGTTTATAGCTATTTTGTCAATTCTCGCATTTAAATTTCTACTTTTATTATCACACAGATTTATTTACAGTGATATGTTTTCAGTTATTTAATTAGTAATAGAAAGGTACCAACTCTAGACAGTTGTCCTTGTCAAGCCTTGTGTCCTGCACCTCTGACAATTGGAAACCACGTCGGAAAACCCTTATGAACTTTCGCAGCCAACACCGGGAGCAAACCCGCACCCTCTAGGCTAGCGAGCCAGCATCTTACCCACTCAGCCCACGGATAGGCTATATGAACACAGGTGAAGATGACTGCACCCATTAACACTACCAGTGCTGCTGGTGGGACGTTTTTATATTTACTGTCAGTGCAGTTATATAATATTTGATATCAGAAAGTTTTAAAATATTCTGCTGAGAACTTTGTTCTGTATTTTTTTCACAAGAATTCATCAATCTGAATGTAAAGAGAAATCTCTATGATTTGCGATTGAAAAATTCTGAACTTTGATTAGGTTCCTTCTTATTGGGTCTAAAACGACCAATCCCATCATTGAGAACTTTAACTTATATTCCATTCAGAAGCTTTAACAGTAAAAACGTGAATGAAAAGGTACCGGGTAGCTCTGTGGAAAGTGTTTGAAATATATACCAAAATTTCTGAGTATAAAATAGATCATTTGATGACATTGGATTTGAATGTATGTAGTTTTAACAATAATAATCATCTAGTTATCCAAGAAAACATGAAAAATACATTAATAAAAAATAGGATAATATTAGAATAATACAATATATAGTTTTGAGTAAGTCACAATATTATAAACAAGAGCATCACTAATGCGCCTGCAATACGTCCACATTCCTGCTTTGATTGATATGGTACTTTTTAAAATAAAGAGAATGAAATAGGAAATAACTGCAATGACTGTAATATGACAAGAGGCAAAGAAGACTAGGCGTTGGATTGGGGCATGTGCCAACATAAATAGTGGCTGTCTTTACAGTATAAGGAATAAATATACAAAGTTCCAAGATGATCCATTCAGAATTGCAGCCTGTAGACAAGAAATACAAACACTGGACGTGGCTCTGCCCCTGGGGGTTGGATATGGAATAATATAAATAGGTACCACCCTGTTACTGAAGTGATTGATATGCTTAATTATTGTAACCTGTAGAGTATTTACAGATAAAAATTAAGAAAAAAGTAGTTGTGGTACCACACGCCTTTGGGTTGGGACATGCACCAAAATCAATAGTTGCCATCTTTAGGCTATAAGGCATACATATGCCAAGTTCCAAGATGATCCATTAAGAATGAAGGCCTGTAGGCAACACACAGACTGACAAAGAAAAAACGGGTGTTACTTTGCCCCTGGGGGTTGGGCAATCACCAAAAATAATAGAGGTCATCCTTAGGGTATGAGGAATAAGTATGAAAAGTTTTCAAGACGATCGATTAAGAATTAAGGCCTGTAAGCGACACACAGGCACACAAAAAGAAGACGGCCATGGCTCTGCCCCTGGGGGTTGGGCATGCACAACAAGTAATAGGAATAAGGAATAAGTATGCGTTAAAAAATGTGGCCTGTAGACGACAAACACATACAAGAAATGGACGTGGCTCTGCCCCTGTGGGTTGGGCATGCACCAAAAACCATAGGGATAATACTTAGTGTATAAGGAATAAGTATGTTAAGTTTCAAGACGTGGAGTGTAAAAAAGGGATATTTAATGCCAGCTGCCAAACCAAATAAATGGATTATTTAACACAACCTCAGTCAAAATCATTTTGTTCTTATTTTGAAGCCATTTAGAAAGGAAAAATATTATTATTATTATAACATTTCACAGTATCTTAATTAAACAAGATTGATTACAGTGTTAAATAATCTAAATCTGTATTTCCATTTTCACATGTTTTATCACATAAAATTATATCATTACTTTTATACATTAATATATTTATAAGCTTACAAATTCAAATGAACAATATCAGTTTTGTCAAAAAAACAATGTATACTATAAACCCCCAAAACGTCTACACTTGGTTAAGAATCTCACTTTGAGTTGACAGACCAGTCATAATTCATGAAGTTAACCTTGAACTTTCCAGCCATTAGTTCCGTCAGTTGATTTTTCTGTTCTCCTTCTGCCATTCGACCATGTACCCATTGAACAGTCTAAATATTTAATGGAGAAAAAAAATTGTTTAGAATATTCGTGCACACAAGAAATACCAAAAAGACGGCTAAATAGTACCCTTTTTTGTAATTCTTGGATTCATTTTAAAATGCCCACATGTAATGTGTTCACATCTTGTAGTCCCTTGTCATTCTACATTTCTATTTCGAACACTCTATAGGTCTTATAACAAATTGCAGGGATTGTTTATTTAAAATATTTTTATCCCAATTACGCTCAGATTTATCAAATCTCCCATTTGTCAGAGGTGACATCTGTGGGTCTGACAAGAAAAATGTCAACTAGATGGGACAAAAAACTGAAGATAGCCTTCAAATGTTGCCGAAACAACAAACCTCATTAAATTCTACTGGACTAAGCTATAAAGCTATAAATGGATTCAGTAGGGCATAGTTACCTCTTCGTTATTCTTGCCAAAATCTACAGAATACCATTTAAATATTTGTGATAGATGGACAGTTTTTTTGGCTACATCAACAACACAACCATCAGATCCTTCTATAAAAGCTTCAGCTGCCATACCTAATTGTTCTATAACTTTCTATGAATAAAATCAATTATTAATGTGTCAATAAATAATAGCACATACTTATGGAAGAACAATTAATAAATTATTCAGATGACTTTTCGGGCCGTCATTTAGTCAATGAAAAGTTGCTTTTCCTTTAGCAATAATGATTTTAGCACCAGAAAAGAAGTAGTTGATCTAATCTAATTAAAACACAGATCCTATTTCGTTTTGTTTTTTATAGTTCAAAATTTCGTTTTACTTGTCTCTACTACACTAGGATCTGAGAGAGTTGTTATATAACCTGTGTTCTGGTAGATGTGAGGGATTAGACATTTGCAGCAAAGACAAGGTGAAAGTTGTATTTCCAAACACCCACTTGAAACATCAACGCTGATTGGTTAATCAAATGTCTGACATCATAGGGTTAAAAGCCACTCGTAAAACCACTGACGCAACCTCCCACTACAACTTGTCAGATCTTCATGTAGTGAAGGCCATCGAAAGTATAAAAAATAAACAAAACAAAATATAGATCTGTATTTTAATCAGATTGTACTTGATCCTAGATGTTGGATGGTTTGCTCACTATACAGGAAATGTGCCCTTTGTCACTTGGTCCCCCTGCCCACTCCATCCACATATTCTGTCATCTGTGACATATTGATCACTTGTACTCTGAATCTATATTGTGACAGAAGTCAAATACAGTTTATCAAAACCCAATTTAAATGGGATTTGTTAAAGATTAGATGATTTGTTAAACAGCACAGCTCATGTCTATTCTTTAACAGTTTGTCTCCATTAATATATCTCTTTTATAAGCCAAATCATGATTTTTAAATTTTCATTAAAATGATGAAATTTACTTACATCTGAAGTGTACGTTTTGATGGGTGGACAACTCTTGGCACCACAAACAAGACCAAAATGAATCAATGGTTCATGTCTTTCTAATGCTACTTTCAGTCTAGGATCTGTCTTACCAAACGGTCTACTAAACTGACCTAAAATTAATACATTTTCATTAAAACAAGTCCTTACCTCGGCATACAATAAAACCAACATAAAACTGATTATCCATAATCTGCTTACATTATACATATCCTTTAAAAATCATTACCAGTACCCATAATAGCACATTTTTTTCTCTATATCTGATTTTGAAAGTTTATTGCAAAGTTATTTGTATATTATCATTTTACTGACATACAATGATCGATTATCAAATAATTAAGATGGTTCAGAGTAGTTCAGACTCAATGATTGATTATCAAGATTATCAGACCCTGATGACTGATTATTATCAAGAAGGTCTCAACCCCAATGACTGACTGCAATAAATCTCAGGGAACCTTCTCAGCCTAAACTTGGATTGATCAAGGGACCTCCATATAAGTGAGCCAGCACCTTACTCGCTGAGCCACCATGGCTCCCAAGATTGTTCAGACTCTAATGATTGATTATCAAGATTACAAGACTCTGAATATTGATTATCAAGATTATCAAACTGAAATGATCGATTAGTAAGATAGTTCAGTCTCCAATGTTTGGCTACCAAGATGGTTCAGAGTTCAGACTCCAGAGATAATTATCACTTAGATCGAAATTTTACACGCCCTAACTGAAATTACAGCAGCATAAACTAATTTCTAATACAGTGAACTGTGGTTGCTCTTACCTACACCTTTTCTGTTACCTCGTAAAACACCATTTTCTATATCTTGTAAAGAATACAAATGACCACCAATAATATAACGAACTGTGTTAAAAAACTGAAAAATCAAAGATATTGATATCTTTTCTGAAATTCTTATTTTAAAGTATTTTATCGTTTTTCATAAATTTGATTGATATATAATAAATATACTTTATTGTTACTTTTTATCTACTTCATAAAACAAGAGTGGGTGACATGGGGTGAAAGTCTAGTAAACACAAATTAGGTCATTTCAAGACCAATATAAGGTGCACTTTGATTGCAATAACTGATTTAAGTAGAGGATTGAAACTGGAAAACTCAAAAAAAGATAAGTTGCCAGGCAATGAAAAATACGCCCACAGCAGCTAAATCATCCTAACGGTCAACAAGGGTTGTCGCATATTAAATCTTTTGCGGGTGGCATTTACAAGACAATTTCATACAGATCAATTATAATTTTCGTCCTTTGAGGGTTCACAAGGTGCTATAAACTGTAACAAGGGCCTTAACTCTGTAAGTAATACACAAAAATTGTTGAAATTCGACAGCCTTTTTCATTTTACTACTTTAAATAATTTATATAAATTTCATACAGATCGGATGAGGACTTGGCGTTCGAACATTCACATTGTTCAATAAAGTTAAACAAGGACCATAACTCAAGAAGTAATTATTGTAAATTAATAAAATACAATAAGCTTCTTTGTTTCACTAATTTAAATGATGCATATAAATTTCATACAGATCAGATGATAATTTTCGTCATTCTAGCGTCCACAAGGTTCAATAAAGTGAAACAAGGGCCATAACTCATACAGACTGGATGATAACTTTTGTTGTTAGAGCGTTCACAGGGTTCGACAAAGTGAAACAAGAGCCATAACTCTAGACATAAGTAACAGAAATTGCTGAAATTCAATAAGCTTCTTTGTTTCACTAATTTAAAGGATGCAAATAAATTTCATACTGATCGGATGATCATTTTTGTCGTTAGAGCGTTTACAGCGTGTAATAATGCCATAACACCAGAAAAAATAAATGGAAAGTATTGAAATTAAATAGGCTTCTTCATCTCACTAATGTAAACAACATATATCAATTTCAAAACAATCAGATGATAAATGTGTTCACAAGAAATTGCGGACGATGGACATAAGTAATATGCGGGCGTATAAAAAGGAACAAAAAACACACAGCACAAGATTAGACAGATGCCTGTACTCCTTGTTGAGTAAAACTGTAAATTCAAACTTTGCACCAGTAATCCAAAGTGTAAATTGCTTACCTTATATCTTTGCCATAGATTTGCTGGTGGACCACGAACTACGTTTGCATGAACAACTAAAGCATTATAGACATTGATAAAGAAAGCCAATTTTTCTTCTCTTGTAGCATCTACTATCTGTACTCTTTGTAGTTCTTTAGTTAGTTTAATATAGAGCTTAAACTCATCACTACCTGCAATACCTTTATAATCTACTTGCTGAAAAACCACAAAGCACTAGATTAATGATACAAGACACCATGTGCATGGTGATAGATATGATTTCAAAAATTGCAATTACACACTGATTTTGTCAGTGAAGTCAAAGGCAAATGTGAAATGAGTAAATGATTATCAAAAAATAATTAGGAAAAAGTACCTACCTTACCATCTTTTGAGAGGAATGCGCCATAAAGTTTAAGAATCAATTTCCTGAGATCAGCACCAAGATCACTAGCTAGAAGTAAAACAAAATTATGGCTTTCAATAACTGCACTTATATATCCCTTATTTAATAGATTGTTTACTATTGGTCTTCATTAATGCCATATGAAATATCCTTTGACTCAAGTGAATAGCCTAGTTATACAAATGCTTAAAAATATCTAAATATAAACAATATTAAATAAAGATTATAAATTGTAACAATACAAATGAAAGGAAATGAAATGAAATCGTGTTTTATGTCCTACAGTTTTGCACCGAATGGGCTAATGAAGATGAGCATATGTCATACAGTGTGCTATATTATGACAGATATTTTGTCCGGACATTGGCACTAAGGCGTACTCTTATATTGAATTCAAACTGTCAGTAATTCTTTTACAGGCACATCAATGTGTACACGATACCTCGGTTTTTCATCCATCCGAACAACTATACGTTGTCCCTTGCCAAGACCTTCGTCCTGCACCACTGACAAGGGGGAACCTGGTCGGAAAATGGTAACCATACAAATACACTGGCTTTAAAATTGGAAAATAGAGACAAGAGTAATAAGTTTTAACAAGAAGTTCTGTTTTTCAAGAGAGAGAGAGAGAGAGAGAGAGAAATGGGTTTTAACATCCACCCGACACAAACTAGGTCATTTTGGGACTAACATATGGTTTACTTTTATTTCAATAATTCGCTTGCGTGTAGGGATCTTTAGCAGTGGGAGGAAACCGGAACCCGGAGAAAACCCACGAGGTTGGACAGGCGACCCTACTCCTTGTCACGTACAGCCGGGGATTCGAAACCACGCCAGTTGACTCAATGACAGGTCGTATGATACAGCGCGCGCGTGCTAACCATTCGGTCATCCAACCCCCCTCTGTTTTTCAAAATTTGTCCAAATCTGATGCTTTAAAGTGCTGATACAATTCCCCTTTACAGCCAAGTAAACTTATTAGCACAAATCTGTACAAGTAAAACCTTACCCACATATCTACCATATTTGGTTGAAATTTATCCAGCAGTTTAATCCGAGGTGCCCCTGCATCTGCTCCAATCCTACCTCATTTGAACAAACATGCATAACCGCAACATATAATCTGCATTCTTACCAATTTTTATAAATAACTGTCAAGCAGTATGGTGAGGAAATCAAAAATAACTTCTTGTTAATGTTATGCTGGACTGATGGCAGACAAAAGTGATGACACGAAGGGCTAAAAATGAAAACTTTATACGTGATTGCATATTAACTTTTTCATATCAGAAGATAAAGATATTTTTTTTAGAATTACCTGGTCTAGGTTTACATTCAGACATGGCACCACTATTTAACGCATTATCATCAGTATCATCTAATAAACGGTAATATACATTATCATCTCGAAATGTTTCTTCATTTTTCACATTATTACCAAAGTGTTTGTTAATCAATTCTTGTCCCATCTCAATAGCACCACTGCGATCTGAAATATTTCACAATCTATAGAATTTTCAAGCTTGGTGGAAATGAGGTCTTAAAATTCATTCAACATAACCTCTCAAGTTTGTACTTTGTACTTCTATTAAACCCATAACCCAGTGATTCTCAACCGGTGTGCCGCGGTACACATGTCTGCCGTGTAATCTTCCAAAGTGTGCCGCAAAGTTTTGAAAGGCACACTAAGAAAATTATTCACTAAAGAAGCCAGCTATTCGACTGATGAAATTCGAAACACAGCAATGAAGTAAGTTCATAGCTGTGCTTTTCTTTATTTACTTTTAGCCATTCTACGTATCTATGACTAGTCTGTGTGTAGGGTTGTATGCCGTTTATGACTTGCCATATTTTTATTTTGCAAAATTTTTCACATATATACTATTCAAAAAAAGTAGGGGATATTTGATTTTGGGGGCATAATACTAAAATATGCAAATGACTACGAAAAAAGTCACTATAGAACCTAACAGAAGAAACATTTCCAGTTACATGTGACGCCCAAACGCACCAATAGCTACCGCATGGAATGCAGGTGATGCTTGGGATCATCATGGGGGTCCAACCCAAGATTTGCACGACTCTGACTTTGAATGTTACAGTCATTGTGGCATTGAATTCCAGGGTGGAAACATCAGTTTAATTGTTTTAGTGACCAGAAAACAAATTTTGATATGCGTCAGCTTACCCAAAATGAAAGGTTACGTGCCCTTGGCATGCTACAGATCGGCACAACACAGGCGGTTGTGGCGCGGACGATGAATGTTTCTCAGTCTGTCATAAGCAGGCTATGGTCCAGATACCGTGATACACAATCTGTACAGGACAGACCACGCTCAGGTCGACCAAGGGCGACAACTCAAGCCCAGGATCGATTTATCCGTACCTTGGCCTTGAGAAATCGTGTCATCATAGCAAATCAGATCAGCGCTCGTCTTCAAACAGACACTGGTGTGAGAGTGAGTGGCCAGACGATTCGGAATCGACTGCATAGGGGTCACCTTCGCGCCCGACGTCCTCGCGTGATCCCATGTTTGAGAGATCATCACATTCAGGCAAGACGTCGTTGGTGTAGGGATCGTCAACACTGGGATAATCGACGCTGGAGCAATGTGATGTTTTCAGATGAGTCAAGGTTCACTGTTGATTTTTTGGACAGACGTAGGAGGGTGTGGCGTCGTCGAAACGAGCGCTTCCAAGACGTTAACGTCATCAGACATGATCGATTTGGGGGTGGTTCTGTTATGGTGTGGGGAGGCATCACTGTTGCTGGAAGAATGGCTTTACATGTTGTTGCAGGGCGTGTTACAGGCCAGTACTACCGGGACAACATCTTGGCAGTCCATGTTGTGCCGTTCGCACGACGTCATGGCCGCCGTTTCATCTTCCAGGATGACAACGCAAGATGTCACAGGGCCAGGATCGTTACAGGTTACCTCCAACAACAGAACATCACCACATTACCTTGGCCAGCACTGAGTCCCGACCTCTCCCCCATCGAGCATGTCTGGGACATGCTTGGACAGAGGTTACGTCAACGTCAACAACGTCCTGCCAATGTCCAAGAACTTGCTGCTGCGTTGCAACAGGAATGGGACAATCTGGACCAAAATGACCTTAGACGTCTCATTAGGAGTATGCCACGTCGGATCAATGCTTGTTTGGCAAACAGAGGAGGATTTACCCGTTACTGACTTGGTTGTGATGCTGTGGTAACTTTGCTGTTTGACCCCGGGTATCATTTTACCCTTATAATGGTCAGTCTGTGCCTTACTTAGTCTAACGATCATTTGGAATAAATCGATGAATGTGAACTTCATTTCATTTTGTCATTTGTTTCTTCGTCAGTTTCATTAGGTGACTTTAATAACACTTAAAAATCAAATATCCCCTACTTTTTTTGAATAGTATATTTAGCCTGGTGTGCCTCTATTTTTTTATGTGTTCCAAGGTGTGCCGTTAAAAAAGGTTGAGAACCACTGCCATAACCTATGGAAAACCTTACCCATATGTGTCAAAATCACTCAAACGGACAAGGATTAACTTGTGGTTTTAGCAGGGAAGTTGAAGTCTCAAGCCATCTGTGTAACATCATAAAAACATACAAAGGGTACACCAGCCCAGTTCCTAGTGAAATGCTGTTAGCCAATCTTTAAACCAGATCAGGGCAAAAATAACTAATCAGAAACACAACTTTACAATAGTTATAGCAGGTGTAGCAATGGCTAATAAGCTGTTCATAACCATTGCTTCAGGAATATGACTTATGATATGCAGATATCACAGAATTGTCAGTAAACTACGCAATCGGGATACTACTAAAAAAAATTACTGATATCTACTTTAACTGATAGTTTGGGTACTGAATTTATTTTGATATGTAGTAGTCTGATGGCATAATATTCTACAGCCAACTATAGTCACCAAATAGTTCATCACAAAGATCACCTACTTTTTAAATTTTTACTTTATTCATTTTGATATGCCTATTACGAAAAAGCAAATATTTGACCTACCTAATCCTTTAGTTTTTACCACCCAGTCCACAAATTCTTTTCCACAGAAAGAGTTTTTATGAGTTTTGATTCCTTGACGATGGTCTTTAATCAGTCCACTTGCTTTTAAATCTTGAACAATCTTGGCATATTCATCTGGATCACATACTATATCTCCAGCATCTGATTTATACAAAAATTTCTATTATAAAGATAACATCAAATGACCTGTTTATTTCTTCAGTTAAAGTCCCAATTCAACATTTGCATTTTAAATAAAATATCAAGTTCGCACAGCTTAATGCATGCTAAATTTGTATTCAGATTGATTCTTTAACATTTAATTAAGAAAACAAAATCAAAATACCAACACTATATAATCTACCAGCTTAGATTCAATCAGATTTAAACTAGAACCATCAAGTTTCTCAGATACTGTCTTGTATCGCTCACAAGCAGCATGGATCAATGAAATTTCAATTTAACATAACTTTGGAAATACTGAACGGAATTGAACTATTTTTGGACAAATATTCCAACTTTCACAATATTGTATTGGATTCCTGTAGCGCTAAATGAGGCATTGATCCTTTTAAAGGGGTGGAGAGTTAACATGGTTAAATTCTATCAAATCAATCAAATAAAATTATCATTTAGCCCAACAGTTGTGATAAGTTTCCCGTAAATCTGGCACTATATATGGTAATCACCATTTGTATAGTATGTCCAGTGGTGCAGCCAGAATTTTGTTAAGCATTGTTCTCGAGTTTGAATGACCAAATTTAATGTCTTGAAGCAAGCTCCAATGATGGAAACTAGCTAGGGTGGGTCAAGTTGCATGCTTTCCCTAGCTTCACTCCACTTAATCACTTCAGTTATATTTATACATCACATTTAAAGTTTATAACTTTTTCTGTTAATTGAGAATGACATCTTTATATGTCTGAGACAAATAAAATAATAATATTTTATATTTCTGTACAACCTAGCCATTATTCCTCATGCATTGCCTTCTGTACCACTAGGCCAGATATGAAAATTTCTCCACTGCATATATCTTCATAAATAAGAGTAGGCCACAATGCCTCCGTCTGGGCAAAATTTCTCTCATAGCACATTTTGTGGCGTATGCAAGTCTTTATTAGCCCAGGTGATATAGAGAAGTGGAACATAAAAACTCAATTAATTTCATTTCACTTACCAAAAGATTTTTCTGCTGTGCTTGGATCTGGTGGAATCGGTGCATCACTCTGTGGTTCATTATCTCGAATTTCTGCAACAGCCCTCGCAAATTCATCTTTATTACTGACCTGAAATAGCAAATTACACTTGAAAATAATATTTGAAACACTATACCAAGGAATGACATTACATATAAACTACTTGAAGGTATGCAGTGACGGCAGTGTACATTATAATATTATAGTCTCCATTGTAAATGAAATGAAATGGGATTGAACTGTTTAACGTCCTACTATTCTTCTCTGACTGGGCTAGACGGGCATACGCCATACAGTGTGCCATGAGGAAAACTTTGCCCGGAAAGCGGAACTACGGCCTACTCTTAAGTTGAATTCCAAATGCTAAGGGATCTTTTACGTATGCGCCAATCAATGTGTACACAGAACCGCCTGAACAACTATACAAAGTCCCTGCACCACTGACAAGAGGGAACCGTGCCAGAAAATCCTGATGAACTTTCTCGACCAACACGGGACATCCAGATTAGCAAGTCAACATCTATTGTAAATACTTTGTGTGTTACAATATAGCAAGTCCTGTTCTATTTAAATTTCATAAATTCTAATCCTTTATAACTTACTCGTAAATTGCTGTATATTTTACATGCATATTAAACTTTATAATGCTCATTTTGAAACATTGTGTATATAAAGCATCTGTGGGTAGTTATATACATGGATATTTACTGAGAAATATTTGTGTAAAGATATATAAGTGTTATAAAGTAGATTATTTCATAGACTATAAACTATTGGTTGGTGATACCTACGTCCATTGTGACCGACGCAGGAACCCCACCTCCCAAGCACTGATAAAGCTCCCAAAGTCATCCTAGAAAAACCTAAAAGTAACATGTTTCATGGAAACTACAGTAATACGCAAATTTTATTACTGCTATTAATTTGTGTGTGTGTTGGGTGGAGGGGCGGGGGGCTGATCCACCACTGTAGACAGCAGAATATTGATCTTGCTTCTCGTTAAACATTACTGCATTTTAAACCATATATAGCCTTAAATTCAAAAGGTCGAAGTCTACTAGGTACATAGAATGTTAAGCAGGGCCGGTTCTGCAGTCTGAAAGAATTGATCAGTAGATTTAATTAATTATGGATGTGGTTATTTTTTGTGGTACCCTTAATGATGCTAGACATAAGATTCAGTACAATAAAGACATTAGATTACCTGTATTGTAGTGGCAGCATGGTTAGAGATAGGGTTTAGTTTAGCTGTTGAAATAAAACTAATGGGCAAATTCTATGGATGAATAATGTTGCCATTATTATTTCAATGTTCACTGTCTAAAATTCATGTCAGCTGTTCAGAATACTTATTTTAGTTTTACAATTTCCATTGCTCCACAATACCAGTGTGGCAGTGTTAAAATACAGAATACACTTTTCAATAAGTGATCACGCCAATAAGCGAGAGTCATGTATTAGTTATTTTGCACATTACACTCCACCATTGTGCATTTTGCATTATATACAAAAATGTAGCCTATTGGAGACCACTGACAAGGGGTAACCACGCAGGAAAATCCTGATGAACTTTCCCAACGCAACGCAGGGATTGAACATAGGACCTACAGCTTAGCGAGCCAACCACTTATTCACTGAGCCATCTCAGCTCCCAACATAAGATACTGGATGATCAAATATTTAGCTCGAAAACATCAAATTTCCAAGTTGTGGGGGGGGGGGCATGAACTCATTTAACCAGTTCCACCAAAATTTGCCATTATTTTTTGTTTCAATTAAACCTGTTTAATTGGTTTTAATTTCAGCTCTTTGTTGGCTCCCTGTAACTCTATCAGCCCTCATATATAGGAACGCCTTATACGGTGGAAATGGCACTGTCCTATCCCTAAATAGACTGACCCATCTAGTATGCCTACTTATTGTTCGACCCCTTCTCATGTAGCCCTCATCTAAAGGCATGCCTTATATGGTAATGGCATTGACCCATCCCTGAATAGACTGAACTCTCTAGTGCCCATTATTCGACCCCCTCTTATTGCAGCACGCTTAGCAGATTCCTGTAGTTGTAGTTTATCATTCCACGCGGCAGCTTGTATCGCTTTGCTCCCCAACATTTCCAGCCCATTCATTAATTTAATTAAGTTTTAGCTATTTTGTATAATCATTTGTATTCTTGAATTGTTTACTATTGTTATTTTGTGTTCTCTTTGTTTTACTTGTAATTTGTCTCTGGCATTTTATTGTTCTACAAATCGTTTTATTATTTGTGCCTTGTTATTGATTAGCATGCAATTTTGCCTTGTTTCAATAAAGTCTTAATTTGCCCAAACCATCTTTTTTATTGGTGGGATGTGGGCGGGCTAGCTGAGCTTAGCTGTCTGTCCGTCCGTCCGCCAGCTAGATGATATTAAACATAAATAAACCTACCAATTTTTGTAGATCATCATTTCCTCCAACGTGCCAGTTGTTAAAAAAAATCTGTGGAACTGTCTTTTTACCAGTTTTTGCCTGAAATTCAGCTCTACATTGAGGAAATAAATCCAAACTTATGTCAGTGTAAGGGAGGGCGTTTTCTTGTAAGGTGCTTTTAGCTCTCATACAATGAGGACACCCCATAATAGAATAAACAACTATTCTTCCTTTTAGTTCCATAGCTCTTGGATGTGTACAAATAAACTTGTTATTTGTAGAAGTCAGCAAACCTGTTAGATACGCCGGTGTTCCAATAAGTTTAAGAGGGGATCTCAAAATAAATCTAATTCCTGCTCGTACAACCGGAACAAAAATATGCAAAGTCATTCGAAAACCCTCACGTATCCACCCCAACCACATAAATAATATTGACAGTTTCTATATACCGGTTTTAATTCAATGTTGTGTTGGGTCTAATGGACATTCACAATACTGTCAATAATAGTTTTATTGATCGTATGGCTGCAGTGTTTATTTATAAATACAGCTTTTCAATAGATAAAAAGATTGTATAAGAAGAGAGACAACTCCACAATTACCAACACAATTATCTCCCTTACTTTTGTGTTGCTTTTAATTAGCCCAAAGATATTTTACTTATGTGTAATGTCTTGTCTGCGAGTTTGTTTTATGGTCATCACGCTATCCCCATTGTCATCTAGCTTGTGCGTTCCCCAACCCTTTTGAGTTCTGGGCGAAAATGGCAATAGTTGCAGAACACAAAAAGTAATCAAACATTAATAAAATGTGGAGTGGGGAGTGGGGGATGGGGTGGTAAAGTGTAGATGGTAGACCAACTTTTGCCAAATGGAACTACAAAATACCTTTCTCAGTTAGCAGGCACACCCCTCGCCACTATAAAAGGAAGTGACGTCTTATGTCATTCACTGCTAGGTTTCACTTTGGATGTTATGCGAGCTGTAATTACCCTGCACATACTGTTAGTGTATAGAAACTTGTTGGCTATAAGCTTACCATGTACAATTTATTCTGTGGGTTTAGAAAACTAACAGTTAAAGTTTCGAAAATAAATCTTCCAATAGGGCCAGTGAAACATTTTTAGTGAGTTACACCTTTCACATCAATGTCATTTCAATCTTTCTCAGAAAGATGAAGTTGTTTTTCTAGATGCAGAACAAAAATATTCCTCTCCTTTATTTGTACTAACATTTTTTCTCTTTTCAAAGAAAGTAGTAAGATAAATACTTGATTCTTCAGATTTGCAAATCAATTAATATATAGATAGATTTCTCAGGCAAACAGTTACAATGCCAAACAGACACCAACAGGCAAAACTAAGTTAAATGAGAGCACTGATAAGATTTACATAAGAAAGGAAAACTTTGTCTGCTATGAAATGAGCCAATTTATTTCTTATTGGGATATAAAATCAACAGCCTTCATATTTTTTCTCTTAAATATTTTAATGTACAATTGTGTTCTTTATGCATAATATTAAATGATAAATACATAATGACTAAAGCACAAGAATAAAATCAGTAACCAAATGTTAATTTTCTTATTGAATGTTTTAATTTCACTTCAATCACCCTGTTAAATACGAACAAGTACTTCAATGATAATTGTGCAAAATGTCTTTTATGTTTTATATTAAGAAAATAAAATCATTATCCAAAAATCCAAATGAATCTATTCACTTTTGAAAATAAATAAATCATACTTTACACAATATGAAGAAAAAGATAAAAGAAAATATTGATGAAATTCCTTAAATATATTCATTCAGAACGCGAGGTCAAATACCAAATTTGTAGTAAGACAAGAAAATAAAATTTGTTCATATTTAGTTAAACTATGGGAGATACAAGCAATTTCCTCAGACTATGTTGTAAGAAACAGTTTTGATCAAGACAAGGATTTTTTTTCTTTTTTTTTTAAAAAAACCCAAAGAAAACACATCCTCACAAGATTTTTACATAAATCTTCATTACTTAATATAAATGTTGTAGAACTTATATTATGTCAAAACTATCTCATATCTCCCTAACAAAAAAAAAACTAAATCTAGTTTTAGTTTGTAATATTACGTGTAATGTGGCATTCCATAGTCTGTGGCCCAAACCCAGATCATTCCAAAACCAGCAGCCACCATGTTTTGGGTGAAAATGTATTTAAAATGTGATGTCATTAAAAATTACAATACCATATAAGCTTACTTTTATAATAAATATTAGCCTATCTTTTATCTGAAAGATGGAAATCATTCACAGTGGGTTAAAAAATAATGCACAAATATTTATTTATATTAAAGTTAGAATCAAAGTTACATTTATTACTTAACTACATATTCTTATTTTTTTAATTTGATGATATATTATAGGCCTAATAAATTTCGACTCCAAATTCAAATATAAAAATTTCTAAAATCGTAATTTAACAGGAGGTTTTTTTTTTATATATATATACCAAATTATTTATTACACAAATGTAATGATTCAGATTTCCACAGGATAATTCTATGACACTTCATTTTTAATACAGAAGACCTATTAATTAGGACTACTAAAGTTACCTCCCTTTATTAATTGATTAAGGGAATGCTTGATTGAATGTTTTGGAATTGAACTCTATCAAACCCAAAAATAGTGACAATCGAGTGAAAATGGTATTTGGGGCTAGAACGCATGTGCTGAGTGCATGAGAAAATATCTCAACCAACCATGACAGTTTAAACGTATTCATTAGGTTTAATTATGTCACAATTCCACTCACACCACCTCCATTGTCGGGATTGACAGAACTGTGACATGACTGAATTCCGAATCACTCAAATGCAATTCTGTCAATTTGAAACGTTCTAGACTGACAATCGATCACCCCCTATGAGACTGCTATTCAAACTGTCAACGACTGAAAGCTATAAAATATTAATACATAAACCATAAAACTGTATGCAAATGTCATTAAAGATTCATATAGAGTGAGTCATCACTATATTCTATAAATAAATACTGTATACATCTCTGCTTTAATAAAATAAATAAACTATCATGCACCAATACATACAAAATACCAGTTTTATTAATTTATCTTAATTTTCATCTTTAGCTTATAATTATAAGCTCCTCCTTAATCTCTTTTAAGACCTTTTTGGTTTTGGGGCCTCTCAATGCTGTATGTTTAAATTACTTTGAGAAAATGTTTATTATATTCAAATTTTAGTATTTTTAGGATAACATGTAAGATTAAGATAATCAGTATCATGTATCATTAATTTGTGCTTCAGTGTAAAACTCCCTATTCTCTTAATCCTGTGGGGTTTTTGGTAAAAACTCAACAACTGTCATCTGCCACATCAGATAGTTTAAAAACAAATGATGTGTAACAAGTCATTCAATGATGTTGAATTATGGGTATAAAAAGACCTTTTGGGGAGAATACACACATTCTTTCTGTGTAAGACATTTGGGCTTACACCGAGATGCAGAAACTACAAAAAAATCTGTTCTAACTTCTAGTTATTATTATTAGTATCCTAGTTTTTAAAAATAATTTGGACAGATCATTCCCTTTTCAAAACATAGTACATCTTCTGTTTTAAAGAATAACTTTTCTTTAATAAAATTTAGGCACAAGATTATGCAAGCATTCTCCAAGACAATGAAATGGGTTTATATGCTCATGCATATAGATATACCGACAATAATATGTCAATAACTTCTTCTCAAGAATGCCTTAAGATAAACCTTGTAATATGTTCAAAGGAAACTAATGAGTGTTAGAAAAGAAGAACACAATATTTGGGTATTAATATATCTACATGCTTGTGCAGAGCAAATATTTAATTTACAAATCTTGAATGTAAATTAACATTCAATATTTCACAATAGTTGGAAGCAAGTGTTCTTTGAAGCCTTCAAATTGATTTTCAGAAGAAAAAGCAGAAGTTGTTAAAGTTCCATCTAAAAAATGCTATACTCTAAACAGCTTTTTCATTTCTTGCTCCTGTTAGTAAATTTTATTTATCTCCAAACTAAATTTTCTGACTGTTGAGAAAATCTGACATGGATTAAATAGATTACAATGAATTGATTTCTTATAATTTCTACAGTGTAGCTTATAATACAAGGCTTCATTTTGGAATCTACATTTTTTGTATTAGGAATACACATCACATATGTTTTATGTAATAAAAATTTCATTATACATGTATTATTTACAAGCTGAAAAAATACAAAACAAAAACCAAATTGTTTGCGACATTCATAGTTAAATCACAAACAATAGTTTATAATAAAAACTATTTTCACAGTCTCTTAATATAATATATACTGTCATCAAATTGAATTCTAATTAGGTTTTTTTTATATGAACAGTTTTAGAAATCAACTTGAATGTTTTAATATATTTTATTAACTTGTAAATGCTACTTAGTAAGTCAAGCTAAGGACTGAATGTTCATGTACATTTTAATATCCATGTCGTACGGTAACCAATTCATTCAATAATTAATTTTTACTTTAGTTGGCAAAAATAGGTGACAAAATATATTATTCCCAACATTAGCACTAAACACAATGTCTCTCACCGCACTGTAAATAATAACTTTACAATAGGAGAGTACTGGAACCGACAACAGTGGTTGTTTTGTTTGAATAAGAAAATAATAAATGCAATGAAACACTGCAGCTCAACACATGGTCCTTCTACAGTGTAAACTAAAGCATTCATACCAACCACCAAGCTAGGTTTTAGTCATACAAATACAACTAGATTTTTTTTTTTAGAAGATTTTTTTTTTATCTGAAGGATGACGATACATGATGCCTATACTGCAGACTTCACTCACAATCAGGCAAAGCAGAAAATGATATCGTCATGACAACAGATAAGATGATGCACAAGAAGAAAAATCAAAGTCTTTTAATTTGAATATAGATGTCTAAATATATCTAACAGCACTTTCTACTGCCTGTTTCTTGTTTATGAATATCCACACCTTTAGGTTCTGTGTCTCTACCGGGTGTCTGTAACAAAGCAAATATATAATTTAGAAATCTTACAACACCATCTCAGAAAATACCATATTTACTTCCAATAGAGAAGGGTAATCATTAATTTTCATATTTCATACAGATTAGCTACAATCAATCAATCAATGATTCACTTATTTTGAGCAATATCAAAAGTTGTACATTTGAGATGAATTTTATATCAAGATAACATATTTCTACTAACATTACAATTTTGGCCAAGTAACTCAGATGTCTTCCCATAGAAAACTACATGACCCGATATACGTGACTATCACACTATGATAAGCCTGGGTTATCCAGACACACAACATGTGATTTATGAAAATTTTGTCACAAATCCCACATGAAACCTTGCCATTTGTGTCATGTTTTAAACTGCTGGGGTTTGTATCACTATTAATGATAAAATGATTATATTTTTCATAGTGTTACATATATACCTTATTTAATATTGCTTGTGCCAGCTCCATAAAACCTTTATCTACATTTATATTTGCCTTCGCACTGGTTTCTAAGAATGGTATACCATGTTCTTGAGCAATCTACAAAACAATTTAATCTGATTACAAATACATTGTTGGTTTTTATTTAGGGGGAATAATTGCGTATGTTAAGCCCATCAAGGCTTGTGTCAGAGAAAAATTTGTGAACACAAAAAATCTGACTAGAAATTTGTTTAATATGAAAAATTACAATCTGTAGAGCACTGTTAGTACAATGTACCAATGGTACATACTGTTCAACAGCAGTGGAAAAAGGTGTCACTGCACGGCACTGCACCTTTGAACTTTGACCATGGTCATACATATACAAGTCAGGCCTTCAGTGTCAAACATACAACTCCAACCATCACTAATTAGCATTGTTGATCCATTGTTCATATTTATAACATATTTCGTTGTTTGAGAACAGATTTATGCCAAGTTGGGGACTTGCCAATATGATTGAAACTGACATCAAAAAGAAAAGACATCAAGAAAAAAACACTAGTATTTAAATCTCTATATAATGTGGATTTAAAACAGTGGTTAAATGTCGCGGAAATACAACCAATCACGATTTAAAATTTGTTCAATATTGAATTTCCACATACATGTATATATCTTCAACATACAAGGGGTTTATCTTATCTCTCAAAGCCTTGGTACAGTTTCCTTTGAAAATCCGAATGGAAGATTATCTGTAAGTAAACTTACCGAAGTGCCTCGATCTTTTGGTACTTGTCTCTTGTCTTCCATGTCACATTTATTACCTAGTATCATTTTTTCTACATCCTCATTAGCATGCTGAAAACAATCAAAATCAATTTCAGAATATTATGAGGAAAATGGTAGTAGTATCTTAATATACACTGCCCATTAAATGTAGAACTATTTTACCCTGCTAGTCATGTGTAATTATGTATTCTCCAATACTGATAAAATGTTAACCTCGTGTTATTACTGTAATATTAGTATATTATATTGGAAATGCATTATGCAAGTTTTAAAGAAAGAGCTTGCAGATGGAAACTCTGTCCAAATATTCTCGACTGTCTAGTACCGTTGCCACGATATCAAACAAGTTCTCGATGTCGTCATGCATAGCATTACATGAATATTTCATCTAGAGAGTAGATTATGGGCTTGTCTTGTGAATAAATGTCTATAAATAATAATTTATATAACATTTGAAGCCAGAAAAAAAAGTTGGAACAAGGGTGAGAAATAAGCAATTTTTCAGGACTTACAGTAGTCCACGCAAAAATTTACTCAATTTTGTCAACACCTATCGATGGCACTTGCTGTTTTACATTATCTGTTAAGGGTGACCAATGTTGACATATTTTCAATTAATTATTTTTCAATATTCTAAATGGAAATGTACCATTTTTTGGATTGATATGCCTTTAAGAGATTCAGATTTCTTCACAACAGTTTCAAAACTTCAATTATCAAGTTCCAGTATATGTCACTCTGATAAAGGTTACTGGCACAGATAATCCTAAACAGCTTATATAAGATTGTCTGAGAACAAAAATAATATCTTTATGTGGCCTAAATATATCGACTTTCACCCTCGACAAAATTTTGTTGTTTTTTTTTATTGCAACCGAGTCTCTCGGTTACAAATATGCTTGCAGCCAAGCAACAGAAAAATGTCAATTTGCGATGTAAAATGTAAACAAACTTTCTTTTTCTTTTCAGCAATATGAGCTAGATTGTCAGAAACTTAATTTAATTTTTTAAGCAAATGGAAAATAAAGAGACTTACTTCATCTATATTTCGCAACCATTTTGAAATATTCTCAAAAGATTTTCCATTTGTTATATCATAAACTAACATAATTCCCATAGCTCCTCTGTAGTAAGATGTTGTTATTGTGTGAAATCTCTCTTGCCCTGCTGTGTCCCTGAAAATATAACAAATAATACGGTATATAAGAAATATGTGAAAAATACATGCATGCAAGTTGGATTTCAGATTAAAGTTGTGTTAATTATAGACAGCCTCCAATCTAAATGTTTTTGTTTGAACTAAAGTTAAATTAATGTTTTAAGTTTTATCCACTACTTTTGGTGTATTTTAAAGAAAAGATAAATCTTTCTTATCAATATATTTTTTCCCTAAACTTGTAAAAACTGTTAGTTTATTTTTGAATATTTGCTGATTTTATTAAATTAATATTATTAAATATTTCATAGGACAAAACAATTCTTTTTTAATTTAGATTAAATAATGAATATTGAAAGTTCAGTTCATACAGTCTCCAAAAACTATTTAAATATTTGTGTGAGCACTAGTTACATGTCATCGTCATGTATTAATTCATAAAACTTCCTCTGTTTATCACCACCACTGAAGTTGTAAACAAACCTGGGCTAAAGATTAGAATATCATTTCAACTCAGTTTTTATGTACCTAAAGTATAATGATTCAACTCATTTTCTGAACTGGGTTGACAAAGTACTTATTGAATGGGAACTCTTTAAATTCATATTAAAACACAATGTATCTACATAAAGTACTGGCAACAAGCCAATGAAATTTGAGTATAATAAAAAAAAACATGTTTTATATAAATTAATGAAATAGACAACACTAAATTAATATAATACAGATTATACATCAAATTAATGAAATAGATTATACCCAATTGACTATAGCAGTGGGTTTCTTTTCTTTGTTGATTCTTATCTCCTCAGAGTAAGAGGGAGTTTACATGTACATTGTGGATGTGCATGTAGACTTTAACTAACATATAAATGAAATCTGTGACATTCTTTCAAAGTTTTGATATTTAAGTTAATATTTAATACTAAAACTAGACTTACCAGATCTGTAATTTTATTTTCTTTCCACCTAATTCTACCGTTTTTATCTTAAAATCAATACCTGAAAAAAAAACCCCAGAAAAATTAGATAAGGTACATGTACTAAATAATTTTGTAAAGGTAAGCTTAATTGCTATAACGTCATACACAAGATCTTTATGATCAAAATTATTCTCAACATAATGATCATAAATGCTACATGTATAATAGCATTCCACAGGTAAAAAGATGTATTCAATAAGATTATAGTACATGGCAGATAAATTGTCACACCTAGTACCCTTAGTAAGGAAACATTGCAGAAAAGTTCAAATCTTCAAAATGTTTCTCCTGATCTCATGAAACTTTCTGACGCATGTTTTCAAAGAAATACAAATTCTTCTGATTGGAGACAAGGGTCCACACTGTCAACTGCTGCATAACCATGTCTATTGCTGCAGTGTAATTATCCCTCAATACACATAAACACAACCAAATTCTTTATACTGTACATAACCCTATTATGCAATTGATAACATTCTAGATGAAACTTTCAAACAAGGTAGAAGCTGTACAGATGTCTGATTTGCATACAAACAATGTACTTGTAGCCATAGATTCCCAGCTGGTATGGTAAATCCAGATTACCTCCCTTTACTCATCAGCTACATGTATCTTTTCACACTGAGCAAGAACAAAAGGAAATTCTATATTAATTATTTGCAAATTTCTCTTTTTCAAAAGTATCGAGTAATCAAACTGATTATCTATGCTTAGTTCACGATCAAACTCAGTCAGGTTTCAAAGAACCTGATAGTGAAACTATACATTAAGTTTCATCACTCTCACTTAAATAAAACTAAAGTTATCGTGTCCCAAAGCATCAACCAATCAAACTGCTTATCTCTGCTTACCCTAAGCATAAAATGCTCATCTTCGAACTCCATCAAGGCATTCACCTAAAAAACACCTACACCAAGTTTGAACATTCTAGCTTAATTAGAAGGAAAGTTATTGTGTCCTAAAGAGAGTGACAGACAGACGGGCAAACTAACACTCAGCTAGAGTAAAGATCGAACATATTCACTCATAGATGCTTTGCATTTAGTTTATATCTAATAAACGAAGACACATAATTATTGAGGGATATTATTGACATGAACTTTGAAACTGGTCAAATAAATTAAATATTGGAAATATCAAGCAGATGTTATTCCATTATTGACCCTATAACCTCAAAGTGACATCCCTAACTAACAAGTACGGGCATACTACTGTATGGACCAGGAAGTGAGCATGACGGAAATGAAATGAAATGAAATGGGGTCTAACGTCCTACTCCTAAACTGGGCTAATGAAGACGGGCATATGCCATACAGTGTGCTATGAGGGAAATTTTGCTGGGACAGCGGCACTATGACCTACTCTTATATCGAATTCCAACTGCCAAGGGATCTTTTACGTGCACGCCAATGTGTACACGGGACCTCAGTTTTTCGTCCCATCTGAACGACTAGACAGCTGTCCTTGTCAGGCCCTCCGTCATGCATCACTGACAAGGGGAAACCACGCCGGAAAATCTGGATGAACTTTCTTGGCCAATGCAGGGATCGAACACCCGACCTCCAGGCTAGCGAGCCAGTGCCTTACCCAATAAGCCACCGTGATCCCCTGAGCATGACGGAAATGTGACGTCACATCAAAAATAGAAGTGTTTTAATCAATGCACAAGAACAAGCATGACAAGATTCATATTGATCCTACTTGAATTGGTGGAGCCTTAAGACTTTTTTCGAGGAGCATCACCCCCAAAAAGAACAAGATGGGTAGTACTTGGATGGGTAATGTTGGATGGGTAAAATTTGAAACAGATACACTGGTTTAGACTGAGTGGAATGGATGTTACATGAATGTAAAATACTATAAATATTAATAATACATGTAGGAGTCAACTGCGGCATTAGGTTTCAGTTTTATCGCTTTACTGCCTGGTTCATTTAACATGTACTTCCTATCAACATTCCTATAATATATAATCCAGCCAAAGTACTTCACATTTATAAGTGTTTAAACTTTAAGCATTTATTTGATAATTACTTTGAACATTATATAACAATTACTTTAAGGTCGATTTCTATTTATTAAAATATCATGATCTTATAACTACTTTTCCTTAGATGACACATTTATATGTCTTATCAGAAGAACTGGAAGAACATCTTTTAACTTTTAGTTGTGGGTTTTTGTTAATTGTTTATATTTCAACAAATCAATCATACAAATGACATTAATTGCCAAAGCAAGAATATTGAAACCTATTTGCACTGAACAGTATGTAAACATCTCTGTATACTTTTTCGATAATAATTTCAAATTCAAATGGACTCATACCAGGCTTGATGGACAATTGATATAGGTCACATGTGGGTTTTAATACAATCTTGTTACATTAAAAATATGAATGGAATGTCCCTCATTATTATACACCAAGTAGGCTTGGTTGTAGAATACAGTATAGATGTAAGTTTATAGATATAGGTGATATAGGTCAAGGAATCAGCTGATTATGATACATGTACATAGTCATAATGATGCTATATATTGTAGCTCAAGTAAGATATATAATTAGTAATATAATAAACCTATTGGTATGTTATGCGGAGCAAAGATAAATTAAACTATCAGTACTTAAAAATTTAAAAAACCTGATTTGTTTCAACACACATTATTTGTTCCCATTTCGATGAAACCCCTAATCAATTTATATGTGCAATATACATGCAAGTTATTATCAATCAACTAAAGAAACTGTCTAGTTTAATTCATGATTCAGTGGTAAATAATTTGTACTGTCTTAATTAGACCCCACCCTTTTTAATCATTATTACTAAACCTATAGGCTATTATCTATGATGAAATATAATGACATAAATATAAATCATCATTATTTCACTCACCCATTCCATACATTTATCAATGAAGGGTTTAAAGTTAAAGCTGTATCATTCAAATCAAAATTTTATTCAGCAATTCTCTACAAGATTTTAAAAAAATTGTCAATTTTTACCTTTTTTTAATGGCTTGTAGGGTAGAATTTTTTTTTTCATACACATATGTATTTTGACAAATCTAATTCCCTACCACTTACAATATCTAAATATACAATGGCAGACAGTATGGTACATGTACATGTGAAATACAGAAGTGACAATATAATTTATATTATAAACCAAATGCAATGTTTGTTCACTGATGAGCTACACGTAAACAATGTTTAGTACTGAGTAAAAGAGTGTGAAGTACTTAATTAGGGTTTAACGAATCAGTTCATTAATTAGTATTCATCACCTACAGAATTCAGTATTCTAGATTGGCAATGAGCGTTAAAATTCATTGTGTTCATAGTTGAAACCATGTTCAAAATGATTATAAACAAGCCAACAGTGAGGCTGATGTCCCCCGCCGAAATCCAAAAATAAATAGATGACAGATATTAATTAATCGATACAGGCTCCAATGGCATCTAAAGATACAGATGGATCCTTGCACGTAAAATACAATTGGCTATCATCAGCATAGATCATAGCATCCAAACCATGTTTAGTAATAATTTCTTCGATTGCAGTGGTATACATATAATAGTGAATAATGGCGGGCTTAAAACTGTGCCCTGAGGTACACCGCGCTTTAATGGCTTCTATCGAGAAATAGTATTATCAACAATACGACCTGAACAGGTCAACAATACAAACTGTTCCTAACAACCCCAAGTGGATCTCTAGTCTATGTAATAGCCTCACATGATCCAGAGTGTCGAAAGCGGCACTAAGGTCAAGGAGTGAGAGTATCACGTGAGACCGTGAATCAAGGGCAGTGACTACATCATTGTGCACACGGGTGATAAGCAGATTGACAAAATAGGCCTCTTTGCTTCACTAATTTAAGTGATGCATATAAATTTCATACAGATCGAATGAGAACTTTTGGCATTCGAGTTTTCACATGGTTCAACAAAATGAAACAAGGACCATAGCATAACCTAGATGTAATTAACGGAAATTGCTGAAATTCAATAGGACTCTTCAATTCACTGGTCTAAATAATGCATTATAAATTTCATTCAGATCGGATGACAACTTTGTTAGAGATTTCACAAGGTTGAACAAAGTGAAACAAGAAGATTCAACAAAGTGAAATAAGGGCCGTAACTTCTGTCGTTAGTAGAGCATTCACAAGGAGCAATCAAGTGAAGCAAGGGCCATAACTCCAGAAGAAATGAACGAAAATTGTTGAAATTAAATAGACTTCTTCATCGCACTAAAGTAAACAACATAGCAATTTTAAAACAATAAGATTAAGATGATCAATTAATGTAGTCGTTGAGTAAGAGTATCCAGTTATTCACTAGAAATTGTGGACAAGGACCGACGGACGGACAGGGGTCAATGGGAATATACCACGACATTTCTGTGTGGGCGTATAAAAAATGGATGAATGATTGACAGAGCAATAACACTAGGCCTAAATCAAATGATTAATAAAATGCTATAGAATCTATAATTTTATAATAATAGGCCTATTATATGCGTTACCAGTTCCTTCCTGTCAGACCTTTTTTAAGAATAGAATATACTTACCTATTGTGGAGATAAACGTTGTGTTGAATGCATCATCTGAAAACCTAAATAGTAGACATGTTTTTCCAACACCGGAGTCACCGATCAACAACAGCTTAAATAAAAGATCATACGTCTTTTTCGCCATGTTCTGATCAGTTTTAGTTTTTATTTATAGCCTATATTTTTATTTAGGCGAAATACAATATGGCGCCGTAAACTAACTTTGTCGCTTACGGTTTGTCTATTTATCAAATAAATCCAAATAAATAAGAAAACCACAAATTCAACGACGTATTACAATAGCCAACACCTTATAATATCCTTGTTTTAAATAGAATCAGTCACTATATTACGCTTTGTGACTCAAATCAATAAATAATTTTGTGGACACTTGTTTTACTTCTGCGCTAAACGTCATTTCCGCCCAAATTCGCGAGGGCAGATCCAAGAGAGGCAACTCCAAAATAATAAAGTCCACCTTCGTCCGATAGGGGGAATGAACAAAGTCATCCGAACATAACAGTCATCTCGTCCATGGTTTAATAGTCGCTCAAAAAAGAACGGAAAGGCTGGCAATATTTTACTTTGATCTGTCCGGGATGTGCATGGTATGGGGAAGATCTGATTGACACGAGACATAATATATTTTTGCATGCAAGGTTTGTATTAGACGCAGGCCCGTAGTCAGAGGGGGGCAAGACAAAAAACAAAACAAAAAAATTATCTAGTTTTTAACTATTATAATGAGAACTGCCAACTCGTTATCGAATCTCCCATAATGTATCTTTAAACAATATATACTCCACGGGTCCACCACTTCGCTTTTCCACACTAAATAGCGGATTCTTTTTCATACAGGGTTTTTTCAATACGGTACGCTGCGATGGCATCAAACTATGGAAGCCTATAACTACCATTCATAATTTCTACTTTTCGCCCCTGCAGAATGCGAAAGTCGAAAAGTAGAAGTTACGACAAAATGTCCCCCCCCCCCCCCCGAAAACAATTTTGCCGACCATAGCTCTAAAATACCTACTGTAGACTGTGCCGGGTTTGCCCCCCCCCCCAAAAAAAAAAACTTCACTGCCCCTACGAAGCTAGCAAGCTGGCTACGGGCCTGATTAGACGACAGTCCGTGCTTAATTACTATGGAGCCGCGGTGGCTCAGTGCTTGAATACGGCCCGGCACTAGCTCACTTACCAGGAGGTTCGAGAAAGATACCCTAGATTTCCAGCGAGATTTCCCCTTGGCAGTGGTGCAGGGCGGAGAGCCTAACAAGGAAAAGCGTCTATAGTCGTTCGAATGGGGCAGAAAAAAGGCTCAGTGTGCATAGGCAACGCGTTGGAGTGCACGTAAAAGAACCCTTTGAAATTCAATTGCTGTCGGGGCAGATGCTCGTCATAGCACACTGTATAGGGTATGCCCATCTTCATTATCCCGTTTTGTGCAGAAAAGTAACACGTTAAATCCCATTTCATTCATTCATTCCATACCCTATATATACGTACGGGTTTACTTTAATGCATAACATCGGGCTTGAGAAAAATACAGCCTTCTGATCTCCGAGGAGTGTCCCAAAATTTGTCGGTCTCAACAATCTGGGCATGTTGCTAGAAAAGTATCACAGGATGTGCTTGACAAGCAAACACGAATAGCAACTGCTATAATTTCCAAAAGATGACCCTCTTATTTGCCTTCTGAAGTAACCATCCAAGATAATGGAGATGTTGTTCTCTTCGACAGGCTAGTAAATGTTAGACAGGTAGCTACTGTACGTGGAACGAATAATCCATGAACATTTACACATGGTCAAGGCGTTTGTCATTTGGATGGCCAGAATATTGACTGAAGAACAAAAACGTTAGAAAGTCATGGTCAGTCAACAGCTTCTGGGGGACTCGATCAACCATTCAATCAGTACGACCGTCACAGTATACGACAGCAAGTCAAAATATAGGTCGCTAATAGCGTGATGTGTTAATTTCCCAATTTCTACTTTTCGAGTTGCATTTTGGTTTGGTATGCGCGTAGGCGCCTTCTTACTGCCATCAATAATTACAAAAGTAAAAAGTCGACTAGAAGGTATACAAGCCAAAATGCAAGCTGAAAATTAGAAATTAAGAAAAACCGAGGGGAGCTATTATCGCTGTGTATTGTCATAACTTCTACTTTTCGACTTTCGCATTCTGCAGGGGCGAAAAGTAGAAATTATGAATGGTAGTTATATGCTTCCATAGTTTGATGCCATCGCAGCCTTTTGAAAAAACACTGTGGGAAAAAGAATCCGCTATTTAGTGTGGAAAAGCGAAGTGCTCGCAGTAAAAAGACACATGGACACATGGCTGGACCCGTGTAGTATATATTATGGGAGATTCGATAACGAGTTGGCAGTTTCATTATAATAGTTAAAAAATAGATAATTTAAAGTCAATTTGCTGAAAATTTCATTCAAATTGATCCACTATGAACCCAGAAATAAGCGATTGAAATTTCCGCCTAGCCTCGATCATCATTACTAAAGTCAGTACGATAAACAGCATAGTCTCGATTATCCATTTAATCGTTAAATCGTGAAGGAAAGTTATGCAGTAAATCGGCTTATAATCCACTAAAGATCGCAGGCTAGCGATGCCATCTAGAGTTGATTATGGTCTGGATAGGTTAATTAATGTCTAATTAATAATTGAGATAACATTTCAGGCCTAAAGAAAGACCTGCAATAGACAGATTTAGCTCTTGCATAATGTATGTTTAATGGTTGAGAGCGAGACATTAAGTAATATATTGTAACAACAAGAGGGCCGTTAGCCCGAGTGTTTTTGTAATACTATAGGGTTTATTTTAGTTATAAGAAAGTTGTTCTGATTAATATAGAAATTCTTTACCTACATGATGTGTAACGAAAACTAGGGTAATGAAGTAGCTTGCATTATTTTACTACTATCTTAGACTAACTCACCGACAGTTATGTCAGTATCCATTGCTGGAAGTAGGGTACTATAGTCCAGCCATCTCGTGCACGGATTAGTACCATTAACTAGAATAGTGTTGACGTAAAACGGTGCCTATAGGAAACACTTACCCAAAAATGGTAATTGCCCCACCCTAATAGATGACGCATTATAATTGCTATATAACAGAAAGCTGGTTCGATTTACCCTCGGATATCATAGAGCGGCCCGAGAAGGGAACACCGTAGCCTCCCCGGCTTAGAGGCTAGGGTGAACACATCATCCTAGCACGAACATTATGTAGAACTATCAAGAGGTATGTGGCTCTTGCCACGTTCACGTTTAAGCCGTTAGGTCTGGTTAGAAAGGATATTAAACTCAGACCGTGGATATTTTAATAACTCGAAAAGTACTATCATAACTTTGTAGTTTGCTGTATGTATTTAATTATATAAACTTAGTAACAGCATAAACGGTGTTCCAGAGTCAGTTAATTGATGATTGAAATAATTGATACCACAACGTGAAGACAAAGAAAGTCATAGACGATAATGTCACATCTATTATTTTTTTTTGTTGCCAAGACACAGGATAGTGTTACATGTTTTTACAGTGAAATACGTCACGCGAGTCCAAATATTTCACTAGTATAAATAATGTACGATTGGCCAGTTGTCCGTACGATTATTTGAAATAATGGTACGTCCACATCAAAGGATAGTTCTTTCCATTTAAATTAGAAAGAGAGAAAGAGAGAAATGGGGTTTAACGTCCACACGACACAAACTAGGTCATTTCGGGACTAACATATGGTTTAATTTTATTTCAATAATTCGCTTGCGCGTAGGAGTCTTTAGCAGTGGGAGGAAACCAACGAGGTTGAACAGGCGACCCTACTCCTTGTCACGTACAACCGAGGATTCGAAACCACGCCAGTTGACTCAATGACAGGTCTTATGATACAGCGCGCACGTGCTAACCATTCGGCCATCCAACCCCCCTATAAATTATAAGTTAGTTAAAGGTCCTTTTACACAAATCACAACTTTGGTGTTTAAAATCATTTATTTTCTGCAGTCCATTAAAATTTTTCTTTGCGTGTATCTCTTCCCTGATAAAAGTTGTCTGAAAAGGGAAAGAAGAGCCAGCAGCAACACAAAACAGAAAAATGTAAGCATTTATAAGAATAGTACATTACATTAAATACAAATTATATAGATTTATATGCACTGTCATTGTTAAACATGCATTATGCAAGAGCTAAATCTGTCTATTGCAGGTCTTTCTTTAGGCCTGAAATGTTTTCTAAAGTATTAATTAGACATTAATTAACTGATCCAGTCCTTAATCAACTCTCGATGGCATCAGATTTCTCCGATATTAAATAGATTAGAATGGTTCAGCGATACTTTGATTTAATCAAATATGGAGGACCGAGACTTGGCTTCGATCAACCAGTACGGTGGTTGAAATTATTGCACACGTTTCGCAAACCTTCAAAGGCTAATATCTTCGCTTGCAATAGAGTAATTTTAACGAAATATTCAAATTATTCATTTTACATTATCTATTTTCGAAGTATTATAGCAAGAATGGCTAGCTCTTTATATAAATCTTACATAATGTATCTTTAATAAAGGGTTGTGTAGATCCCTATTCCCTTTGTCATTATTATTCGTTGATATACTATTATACTAGAAACTTGGCGATATGAGGGAATCCCCGTCGAGAACCGTCTTTGTTTTTATTTTACCGATAAAGTCGAAAATAAATAACATTGTCTTTTAGAATGTGAACTATATAGCGATTTTAGAAATACTTTATTTACCTTTATACAAGTTGTGTCCAAACTTTGCGTCTTTTAATAATTCTGATAAAATGTCTTTTATTCTGTCCAGTGATGAAATAGTTAAATTGAGTGCCAAAACCTGCTGCGATATTTAAAAAACAAACGGAGGCACATTTTGTATCTATGTTCGTGAATGGGTTCTTAGTCTGATATAGATATTGATTTTAGAATTGATGTCGTAGGTGTGTTTTTTGTTATTTGTATTTTACTAGGCTTATTTATTTGTTTCTATATAATGTACATATCATCTCTAATAATTCTTTATGACTGGTAATACTTAGCATATATTATGATTTTTGAATGTGATGTATCTACAACCATGGTGAGACGTTAATAAACTACTACTACTACTTATTTATGGAAGGGGATCGACGCCACATTAAAAGACATGTAAACACGAGTAGAAGTTACTATGTCAGCATATGAAAGTGTTGTTTTGATGATTTTTCCATGTTCGATTTTACAAAATAGAAAAGTATTGTCCACTAACGAAAAAACACATGTACAAATGCGCCTTGTAACGTTTGTATTTTCTACATCTGATCTTTCAACTGTTGTAATTTCTACTAGTGCATAATCGACATATGTAACTTCGACATCGGTATTTTCTTCCAATGTAATTTCTC